ATTCACAAATTATGGTTCAAATAATTCACATAATCATTCACACTCCAGTTCGATAAGTTCATCACCTCATCATTCAGCCGGTAGTCCTGCCTCTCCCACATCAGTATCGAGTTCTGTCATGTCATCGTCGGGTTCAAAGGGAGCCTTAGGTATTGGTGGTAATTATACAAATAATAATGGTCATAACTATCAGCAACAACAGCTACAGCAACAGCAACAATATCAGCAATATAATGTCGTTGTTACTAACGGTAGTATAAATAATTCTTGTGGTACTAATAGCATAACCAATACCAATATGGGTTTATTACATTGTCCTAATGGCGGTGGTGGTGGTGGTGGTAATAATAGTAGTGGTGGTAATAATAGTTTAACTAACACAAATAATACATTAGGTGGTGCTTGTAGCGCAGGTGGTGGTGCTGGAGGCGGCGGAGGAGATCAAAGTGTCTCCGAAGCTATATCCAATATTTCTAGTCCTGACTATCAGGATGATGATAACTTACTCAGTTCTCGCGATCTTTTAGGCGGTATGATACTTAGCGATCCCAGCGATTCGGATTCAACAATACTGGTTTCTGATGCTGCTGTGCAGCGTCAACAACAACAGCAACAAAGACATCATCAACAGCAACAAAAGTCATCCGAACACAAAGTTGTTATACAAGTGCGTGGTGCCGATAATGCCACAAATTCTCACAATTCTCATAATAACAATGGTTCCTCAATGAGATCTCTGGGTTCCGATTATAAAAATTCCGAAGATGAACTTGCCACACTCGCCGAAGATGCTGCTGCTCCTATGTATCAACAAACGACATCACCAAATAGTAATTCAGGAACACTGGGCGATGGTCGTGAATCATCGCCTCCCGTATCCGATGATGGCAGCGATGTTGAGTCACTGCATTCGTATCATTATTCTCCTAAGGCTGTGGATATGCCATCGGCAATACGTTTGGCAAAAAGACTGTATACTCTGGACGGTTTCAAGAAAAGCGATGTTTCACGTCATTTGAGTAAAAAGTAAGTGGGAAAATAGGTTGCAAATAAAATGATGAGAACAAGATTAAAGGAGTTTTCTTTTCGTTCCAGCAATGACTTCAATCGTGCCGTGGCTGATGAATATTTAAAATATTTCAGTTTTGAAACCAAATCCTTAGATCAATCATTAAGGGAATTTCTACAACAATTCTCGCTATCGGGTGAAACTCAAGAACGAGAACGTGTTTTAGTACATTTTTCCAAGCGTTATTTAGACTGTAATCCAGGAACATTTAATTCTCAAGGTGAGAACTAATAGCGAATCACAATACGAATATGTTTAATAACCTTTCTCCCACAGATGCTGTTCATACCTTGACCTGTGCTATTATGTTGTTAAACACCGATTTACATGGTCAGAATATTGGACGCAAAATGACCTGTAATGAGTTCATTGAAAATTTGGCTGAACTTAATGATGGCGAAAACTTTCCCAAAGATGTACTCAAGAGTTTATATCAAGCCATCAAATCGCAACCTTTGGAATGGGCACTGTTAGTATTTGTATTCTAAATTATTATAAAATAAAAAATAATTTTTGCTTGATTTAATAGTGATGAGGATCCTGTTGATTTGCAAAAACTTCAAGGTGATAATAAAAATCTTCAGCAGAACACAGGTCAATTGGGTCAGAATCCATTTTTGGATATACCTGAAGCTGCCAATGCTGTGGAATATAAAAAAGGCTATGTTATGCGCAAATGTTGTTATGATGTTAATTATAAGAAAAGTAAGTGACAAAACTCTTCTAAATTTGAAAATTTTATTATTAATAATTGTCTTATGCTTTCAGCTCCTTTTGGCAAACGTTCTTGGAAAATGTTTTATTGTACTCTTAGAGATTTAGTTTTATATTTACATAAGGATGAGCATGGTTTTCGTAAAAGTCAAGTAAGTTTAGTTATTTCCATACAAAAGTAAGCATTTTAAAATGTTCATTTGATTTCTTTACAGATGTCCGACAATCTACACAATGCCATACGAATACATCATGCCTTGGCCACAAAGGCTACTGACTATACCAAAAAACAACATGTATTTCGTTTACAAACTGCCGATCAGGCTGAATATTTATTCCAAACTAGTGATTCGAAAGAATTACAGTCATGGGTAGAAACTATTAATTTTGTATGTGCCGCCTACTCAGCGCCTCCTTTGGAAGGAGGAGTGGGTAGTCAAAAAAGATTCCAAAGACCTCTACTACCCAGTTCGCATACCAAATTGTTATTGGTAAGTGTTAGAAAAACATTTTAACGTTTAATTTTAGTCTTTGACTATAGTCTAGTCTTTAGTTTAGTTACGGATTACTTATATTTCCTTTTTCTTCCTTACAGAAAGAACAATTGGAGTCACATGAACAGCAATTAAATAAATTGGAGAATACAATATTAGAACATAAAAAGGGTCCCATACCCTCTAAAGGTTTAGCTTTACAAAACTACAAAGAAAAGGAACTATTTTTACAATATGAGGTAAGTGTAATTTCCAAATCAAAGTAAAACAAATAAAATTCAAATAGAAACAATGTGAAACTCTGGCCAAATATTTCTAATCTTTTTCTTTTCATCTCCAGTTACGTCGCTACAAGGCGTATGTGTCTATTTTAACAGCTAAAATCTTAGCTGATCAACAGCAGTACGAATTGCAACAGTGTAATCAATTGAACGAAGAGGATACTGATAAATTCTTTAAAACACAGGTTGTCTCAGCACAACCAATACGTTTACAACCAATGCCAACGTCTTCAGCAGCACCAAATAGTATTAATGCTAACGAGCAACTGCAAAAGCAGCAACTTCAACAATCATCACAATCTCAACCTCAATCACAACAGCAGCAACAACAACAAGCATCATCTGGAAACAGGTACAGTAGTAGTAATCGAGCAACCATTTATCGCTCAGATCGTAATGATCAACAACAAGATCTTGGCTGACGCGTAATGGGAGTTTTCTCAGCTTGTGTGGTCTAAATGTTGTGCTAATTTTTCATTTTTTTTTTTTTGAAATTTATGTTTTGAGTTTTTCTTTTTTTAATATATTTTTTGTTAATTTTAATTATTTATTTTGGTTCCGTTATCATTTCTAACAAAAAGGTTGTTTTGAAAAATAATTAAACGAATTGCAGTACCTTCGTTTTTTTACGTCCATTGTATGTTTTTAACAAAATATTTATCTATTTCATAAAAATGGGTTGTTTGTTACATGTAAAAAGGATTCATAAACATACACATACATGAATATTTTAAATGAGAATGTGATGTTAATTTAGATGTTTTAGTATTTGAGAAACGTAGACGTTTTAAATAAATAAATGAGACTATAGACTAGACTGCAGACTAGACTCTAGACTAGAATATAGACTAGACTATAGACTAGACTATAGACTAGACTATAGACTAGACTATAGACTAGACTATAGACTAGACTATAGACTAGACTATAGACTAGACTATAGACTAGACTATAGACTAGACTATAGACTAGACTATAGACTAGACTATAGACTAGACTATAGACTAGACTATAGACTAGACTATAGACTAGAATATAGACTAGACTATAGACTAGAGTCTAGACTATAGTCTAGACTATAGACTAGACTATAGACTAGACTATAGACTAGACTATAGACTAGACTATAGACTACTAGATAGACTAGACTATAGACTAGACTATAGACTAGACTATAGACTAGACTATAGACTAGACTATAGACTAGACTATAGACTAGACTATAGACTAGACTATAGACTAGACTATAGACTAGACTATAGACTAGACTATAGACTAGACTATAGACTAGACTATAGACTAGACTATAGACTAGACTATAGACTAGACTATAGACTAGACTATAGACTAGACTATAGACTAGACTATAGACTAGACTATAGACTAGACTATAGACTAGACTATAGACTAGACTATAGACTAGACTATAGACTAGACTATAGACTAGACTATAGACTAGACTATAGACTAGACTATAGACTAGACTATAGACTAGACTATAGACTAGACTATAGACTAGACTAGACTATAGACTAGACTATAGACTAGACTAGACTATAGACTAGACTATAGACTAGACTATAGACTAGACTAGACTAGACTATAGACTAGACTATAGACTAGACTATAGACTAGACTATAGACTAGACTATAGACTAGACTATAGACTAGACTATAGACTAGACTATAGACTAGACTATAGAGACTATAGACTAGACTATAGACTAGACTATAGACTAGACTATAGACTAGACTACTATAGACTATAGACTAGACTATAGACTAGACTATAGACTAGACTATAGACTAGACTATAGACTAGACTATAGACTAGACTATAGACTAGACTATAGACTAGACTATAGACTAGACTATAGACTAGACTATAGACTAGACTATAGACTAGACTATAGACTAGACTATAGACTAGACTATAGACTAGACTATAGACTAGACTATAGACTAGACTATAGACTAGACTATAGACTAGACTATAGACTAGAATATAGACTAGAATATAGACTAGACTATAGACTAAACTATAGACTACACTATAGACTAGACTATAAACTAGACTATAGACTACACTATAGACTAGACTATAGACTAGACTATAGACTAGACTATAGACTAGACTATAGACTAGACTATAGACTAGACTACTAGACTAGACTAGACTATAGACTAGACTACTAGACTAGACTAGTTATAGACTAGACTATGGACTAGACTATAGACTAGACTATAGACTAGACTATAGACTAGACTATAGACTAGACTATAGACTAGACTATAGACTAGACTATAGACTAGACTATAGACTAGACTATAGACAAGACTATAACTAGACTAGACTATAGACTAGACTATAGACTAGACTATAGACTAGACTATAGACTAGACTTATAGACTAGACTATAGACTAGACTATAGACTAGACTATAGACTAGACTATAGACTAGACTATAGACTAGACTATAGACTAGACTATAGACTAGACTATAGACTAGACTATATAGACTAGACTATAGACTAGACTATAGACTAGACTATAGACTAGATTATAGACTAGACTATGGACTAGACTATAGACTAGACTATAGACTAGACTATAGACTAGACTATAGACAAGACTATAGACTAGACTATAGACTAGACTATAGACTAGACTATAGACTAGATTATAGACTAGACAATAGACTAGACTATAGACTAGACTATAGACTAGACTATAGACTAGACTATAGACTAGACTATAGACTAGACTATAGACAAGACTATAGACTAGACTATAGACTAGACTATAGACTAGACTATAGACTAGACTATAGACTAGATTATAGACTAGACTATGGACTAGACTATAGACTATAGACTAGACTATAGACTAGACTATAGACTAGAATATAGACTAGACTATAGACTACACTATAGACTAGACTATAGACTAGACTATAGACTAGACTATAGACTACACTATAGACTAGACTATAGACTAGACTATAGACTAGACTAGACTATAGACTAGACTATAGACTAGACTATAGACTAGACTATAGACTAGACTATAGACTAGACTATAGACTAGACTATAGACTAGACTATAGACTAGACTATAGACTAGACTATAGACTAGACTATAGACTAGACTATAGACTAGACTATAGACTAGACTATAGACTAGACTATAGACTAGACTATAGACTAGACTATAGACTAGACTATAGACTAGACTATAGACTAGACTATAGACTAGACTATAGACTAGACTATAGACTAGACTATAGACTAGACTATAGACTAGACTATAGACTAGACTATAGACTAGACTATAGACTAGACTATAGACTAGACTATAGACTAGACTATAGACTAGACTATAGACTAGACTATAGACTAGACTATAGACTAGACTATAGACTAGACTATAGACTAGACTATAGACTAGACTATAGACTAGACTATAGACTAGACTATAGACTAGACTATAGACTAGACTATAGACTAGACTAAACTATAGACTAGACTACAGACTAGACTGTAGAATAGACTATAGACTAGACTATAGACTACGTATAGACTAGACTTGAATATGGACTATACTATGGACAAGACGATAAAATGGACTTTAGACTAAACTCTAGTTTTGACCACGAGGTAAACTAAAGACTTCACTCTTGACTATACTTATAAAGAAGAATAAAATTTATTTTAATATTTTTACATTTCAGTTGTTTTGTGTTTAGTTTTGCATTTTATTTTTTTAATTAAAATTAGCCTGTACATTAAAATATGCTAATACCCATAATCTAAAGATAATTGGTATTCTCTTACTATCCTTGTAAAATATCTGGTTTAACATTTTCATTTGAAAATTATTATTTTATATTTTGGTTGCATTTCCTTCTTTCTGTACAAATGGAAAACATACTCAAATGTTAACATTTGAAAAAAAAAATACGTTGCAAATATTTGACTTTCTACCTTTTAAAATAACACATTCCTTTTCAACAAAATACAAACTTTTTTAATTTTCCAAATAAAAAACTATATTTGCATTTATATTTATAAAACAGAATTATTAAATTACAAATTGTTTTTCTTACAATAATTTAGATATTTTGATTAATTTATTTGTTTTTATAAATTGCAGCCCTCCCACACCCCCATTTTATGAGTTAAATTCTTAAAAAAGAAAAAAAAAATAAGTAGAATTATATTAGAAAACAAAAACGAAAAAAACCACATAATACTGTGAAAACTCTATATTATGATATTAAAATAAAAATAATAAAAATATACATAAAAAATTTACCAATATTTATAATAGAAAACATTTGATAGAAACTTATTAAAGTAATTAAAAGTAAAAAAACACAAAATAAAACCCCTTTAAAATATAGAAAAAACCTTAACTGAAAAAAAAATATATTTTTATTTTAGAAGAGACTTTTGAAAAACAAAAAAAAAAAAAAACTCCCTTAACAAGCTGTTACAGTCTCCATTTTTTAATTAAACATTTTAGCAAGGTTTTACTGTAAAATTAAACCCATAAAAAACTTTTACATTTTTATTTTTTATTAAATAGCTTTAGGTGGTTGTTTTTTTTTTTTTCTTATAGAGAAAAAAATTAAGAAAGAAAGTTAAAAAAATATATAAAACATTTACCAAAGTAGTTATTTACAAGAAAAAAAAAAAACAATAAAGTTAAACAATTGACTTTTAATAACATTTAGTGTAGTTATTCTATAGAAAACTATTTAAAAAGCTAATATTTAAAGCAAACTTACTGATCATTCATATTTTCTTTCATTAAACACAATTATAAAAAAAAAAAACAAAATTTAAAACTTACAAATAAATCATGTATTTTTAAAACATTTTAAATTTATTGTTTAAGGTAAATGTTTTTAAAAATTTGTTTTTTGCAGTTTAATTAGAGCTTTTATATTACGTTTATAAAGTTTATTAAACTTTTTTTGTTAACTTGTGCTTTTCTACAATTTTAGTAAATAGTCAAGACTAGAGACTAATCTATAGTCAAGACTAGAGACTGATCTATAGTCAAGACTAGAGACTGATCTATAGTCAAGACTAGAGACTGATCTATAGTCAAGACTATAAACTGATGTAAAGTTGCGACTAGAGACTAATCCATAGTCAAGTCTATATTTTATAGTCAAAATTATAGACTAATCTTTAGTTAAAATATTATGTATAGTAAGGACTATAGACTGATCTATAGTCAAGACTATAGACAGATCTATAGTCAAGACCATAGACTGATCTATAGTCAAGACTATAGACTGATCTATAGTCAAGACTATAGACTGATCTATAGTCAAGACTATAGACTGATCTATAGTCAAGACTATAGACTGATCTATAGTCAAGACTATAGACTGATCTATAGTCAAGACTATAGACTGATCTATAGTCAAGACTATAGACTGATCTATAGTCAAGACTATAGACTGATCTATAGTCAAGACTATAGACTGATCTATAGTCAAGACTATAGACTAAAATATAATCAAGACTATAGACTGATCTATAGTCAAGACTATAGACTGATCTATAGTCAAGACTATAGACTGATCTATAGTCAAGACTATAGACTGATCTATAGTCAAGACTATAGACTGATCTATAGTCAAGACTATAGAATGATCTATAGTCAAGACTATAGACTGATCTATAGTCAAGACTATAGACTGATCTATAGTCAAGACTATAGACTGATCTATAGTCAAGACTATAGACTGATCTATAGTCAAGACTATTGACTAAGCTATAATCGAGAATATTGACTGATCTTTAGTCGAGACTATTGACTTATCTATAGTCAAGATTATAAATTGATCTATAGTCAAAATTATAGACTGATCTATAGCCAAGACTATAGACTGATCTATAGTCGAGACTATTGACTGATCTATAGTCAAGACTATAGACTCTATTGTCGAGACTATTGACTGATCTATAACCAAGACTATGGACTCTATTGTCGAGACTATTGACTGATCTATAGTCAAGACTATGGACTGATCTATAGTCAAAACTATAGACTGATCTATAGTCGAGACTATGGACTGATCTATAGTCAAGACTATGTACTAATCTATAGTCAAGACTATAGACTGATCTATAGTCAAGATTATGAACTGATCTATAGTCAAGACTATAGACTGATCTACAGTTAAGTCTATAAAATGAACTATACTCAAGACTATAGACTGATCTATAGTCAAGACTATAGACTTATCTATAATCAAGACTACCTGCAGTCAAGTCTATAGACTGAACTATAGTCAACACTATAGACTGATCTATTGTCAGAACTATATACCGATCTATAGTCAAGACCATAGACTGATCTATTGTCAAGACTATAAACTGATCTATAGTCAAGTCTATAGACTGATATATAGTCAAAACTATGATCAAAACTATAGATTTATCTATAGTCAACCCTATAGGCTGATCTATAGACAAACATGTAGACTGATCTGTTAATAGTTTTTCTAACGAAATATTGAAAAATTGAAAACTGTATAATTTTAATATTGAAAAAACAGTTTTTGTCTTCATTCTTTTAAACAACTTTAACAAAGCTATTATGCAATATACACTTCAATAAATATTTGTTTGTTTCTTTGTCTTGTGCTGCCTGCTGTTACTATTTATTTGTACTTTTCCTATGCTTTCTTAACTGTTATATTGTGGCTTAAATGTCTTTTTCATTACTGCGTTTTTCTGTTCTGTTCTATTCTGTTCTCTTCTATATGTTTTTCCTGTATGCCATTCCATTTATTGTTAAATTTACGAAAATTTTTACGCAAATCTCAAAAATTCAATTCAAAATTTTAGCAAAATTTATTAAGTTTATATTTTTCTCTCTTTATATTTTCCTACGTTTAACTTTGCAGATGGTATGGCTGTGGTAGTTTTGCCTGGTGGTCGTGTTTATTTTCCTAAATTTAAATTAACAATTTATTTTATTTTATAAAATATAATTAACTTAAATATAAAATAATTTATTTAAATTTTTTTTAAAAAAAACACAATTTAAAAAATCATTTTAAGTTTTATTTCTTTTAAAGAAATAAAATGTTTAAAAAACAAAAAAAAAAAAAAACTTTTAAAGGTAAATGCAAAACATAGAATAAAAAAAGCACTATTTATTAAACATGTTTCAAATAATTTAAATCATTAAAAAATAATACCATACACAACGACATTTTTTACACACAGTTTTCATATGCAATATCATCATGATTTTGATTTTTTTATAATTTTTTACAAAAAATTTTTTGTAGAAATTTTAAGCAAATAAAAATAGTTGTTTAGCAGCAACACTGGCACAATTTTTAGTATTATTTCGCTATTTTCATTTAGAAATTGTATGTTTCTTTAAGGAAGTAATTCAAACATTTTATAAAAAGTTTCAATGAACAATTTAAAAATTATCGCCAGTTTTTGGACTTAACTGTAGTCATGAATATTAAATGATCTGTAGTCAAGAGTATTAACTGATCTGTAGTACAGACTATTAACTGTTAATTGATCTGTTGTCGGACTATTAATTAATCTTTAGCCAAGATTATTAACTGGTCTTTTGTCAAGACTAGAGGCTGATTTAAAGTCAAGACTATATTTTGATCTATATTCAAGACTATAGACTGATCTCAAGGCTATAAACTGATCTATAGTCAAGCCTATAGACTGATCTATAGTCTTGACTATAGACTGATCTATAGTCAAGACTACAGACTGATCTATAGTTAAGACTATAGACTGATCTATAGTCAAGACTATAGACTGATGTGTAGTCAAGACTATAGACTAATCTATAGCCAAGACTATAGACCGATCTATAGTCAACACTATAGACTGATCTATAGTCAAGACTATAGACTGATCTATAGTCAAGACTATAGACTGATGTATAGTCAAGACTATAGACTGATGTATAGTCAAGACTATATACTGATGTATAGTCAAGACCATAGACTGATCTGTAGACTATAGACTGATCTATAGCCAAGACTATAGACTGATCTATAGTCAAGACTATAGACTGATCTATAGTCAAGACTATAGACTGATGTATAGTCAAGACTATAGACTGATGTATAGTCAAGACTATATACTGATGTATAGTCAAGACCATAGACTGATCTGTAGTCAAGACTATAGACTGATCTATAGCCAAGACTATAGACCGATCTATAGTCAAGACTATAGACTGATCTATAGTCAAGACTATAGACTGATCTATAGTCAAGACTATAGACTGATCTATAGCCAAGACTTTAGACTGATCTACAGTCAAGACTATAGACTGATCTATAGTCAGGATTAATAACTGATCTATAGTCAAGACTATAGACTGATCTATAGTCAAGATTAATGACTGATCTGTAGTCAAGACTACAGAATGATTTATAGTCAAGACTACAGATTGATCTATAGTCAAGACTTTAAACTGTATCTAGTGAAGACTATAGACTGATTTATATATAGTCAAGACTACAGATTGATCTGTAGTCAAAACTATAAACTGATATATACTCAAGACTATAAACTGATCCATAGTCAAGACTATAGAATAATCTGTAAACGAGATTATAGACTGATATATTATCAAGACTAAAAACTAATCTGTAGTCAAGACTATTAAATGATCTGTAGTCAAGATAACTTAACTGGTCATTGGTGAAAGACTATTCGATTTTTACTAATGTGTATTAATTGATCTTTAGTCATGATTATTAACAGAACTGTAGTCATCACTGCAGATTGATTTAAAGTCAATACTTTGATCTATAGTCAAAATTAGAGACTAATCTTTAGCCAAGACTATTAATTGATATCTAGTCAAGACTATATTAGGAGCAAATAAATTTTAGATTAATTCCATTAAATTTAACTTTAAACATTTCCTATAATTTAAAAATAAATAAATTTGCTTTATATTTTCTCAATTATGTAATAATTTAATCGAGTTTTATTTTTCTTTTAATTTTTTTTTATTTTTACAGGAAAAAAGAGAAAAAGAAGTAAAGAAGCTTATTTTATGCAATTTTTTTTGGTTGTTTTCATTTAAATCATATCAACAACAACATTAAATCATTATTTATTTAAAGAGACAAAAACAAAAAAAGAACACAAATACAAACGAACGAAACAATAATTGGTAAGTTTCTTTTTTTATGAACTTTACTTTATATAAATATATAGATTTAATAAACGAAAAAAGAAAAACAAATAATAAGCAGGTAATCTACTAAATACATACTCAATTATGTATTTAACGAAATTGCAATAATTTTGAAACAAAATAAAATTAAAATTATAAAAATGAATTTATTTAATATTTTAAGTTTGTACGGTGTTGTTTTAAGAAAAAGGCTTTTGCTTTAAATTAACTTTATTTAAGCGTTTTTTGGGCTTCAAGTTTTTCAATTTTGAGTTTTTTTTTGCAAAAGAAACGAGAAAAAAAGTAAACAAACAAACTAATTCGTGATAAAACCTTTAACTTGTATTTTTGTGTGTATAAATTTAGTTTTTTTTTTATAAAAAAGAAAGAAATTATCTAATCTTTAACGAAAAGTATGTGTTAATTTAAATTTAAACAGAAATATTGTCTCATTTTATTGTTATACAAATAAAACAAAACAAATAATTAGGCTTTAACAATTTATAATTATATATTAACAAACAAACAAACATTTATAAACCTTAAAATAATATATTTATATAGAAATATAATTGAAAACATTAAAAATTAAGTTAACAATTACAAAAATAAAAGTTAAAAATTATATTAAATGTATAAAACATAAACAAAATAAACTTTTTAATAATAAACTAAACATGATAAAAAAATAAGTAAATTAAAAAAGTTTATTTAGTATATATACTTAAACATTACCTAAACTATCATTTTAAATGATAAAAAAAAAAAATAAACAAATTCTGCTAAATAATAATAAAAAGTAAACATTTATTTGTATTTTTATTGTTTTATAAACATTCATACTTACTTACATACATACATACAAAAAACACTCTATAACAAATATATTTTAATTTAAATTACTTTACTTTATTATTTTTTAAGTTTTTGTTGTTTAAAATAAAAATAAATAAAAAATTCCTAAAACTTAACTTTGAACAATAATTTAACAACAACAAACCACTATTAGAAATTGAAACTATTTTCCAAGGAACGGTAAACTATATACAGTATTGTTCGAAACCTAAGCAACTTTTTTTGGCATTGTATACAAAGTGCTATATTTTCTATTTTAATTGATTTATTCCATATTATATAATTGATAATAATAATATTATGTGTCTACATTATAATAACAACAACAAAAGTTTAATTCCATTTCGCTGTGAGTTACAAGAAAATAATAACTGAAGTAATTCCATAAATAACTGTTCGAAACTTAAGCAACTTTTTGATCTTCTTATGAAAATCTTTGGTCCTTTTGAGTTCCAAACACCTTTATGGAATAGATTAGTTACTAGTGTAGTTCGTAATGAATCCCAATCGGATTTTAAGCCATTTGCCAGCTGTAACGTTTTCTAAAACTGCGAGTTTCGACCCAGCGCTTCAGAATGCCGAACAGCATCTCTAAGGGGCTTGAGACAGGAGATTTTGATGGACAATCAAATAATTTGGGTCCCATTATACGATAACTACTCTTAGATCAACTTTGCCAAAGGTTTTGGTTCATTATCATGCTGAAAATCGCAATAAAGTAAGTTGTTCTGTTCGGTGTACTCAATCATGTGATTCATTTTGTTGGCGAAAAACGTCCCAAAGGGAAAAACAATCCAACTTTGTTTGTGTTTCAACAACAGGACTAGCTCTTCTCTTCAAAAAACGTGGCCAAAACCTTAAATTTTTCCTCTCCATTCATGATTGGTCCTTTACTAAAAGGGTATATTGTAATATTTCCTTCAGCCTTTGAGCCTCGCATACTCTATTTGAATTTAAGAAGGAAAATGTGGAACCGTTTGTAAATAAAACTGTTTTTACTAGTCTTGCGTAATCTATTTCAATATTCTACCCAAAATTGTACAAAATTTGTGAAAAAATCGAATTTCTATAAGTAAATTCTGTGCCATGTCACTGCGGGATTCATATGCGGTTATATGATCGTACATTAAAGGCTTAAAAAAACATGGAGGTCAAACAATTAAGGTTGTGGGCAAGATTTTTGGTGAGTAGAGTAAGTCCTGATGTTGAAATATAAATAAAATTGGATTGTTTTACTTCCTGGGACATTTTTGGCCAACAAAATGAACCATAGGATTAAGTACATAGAACAGAACAACTTACTTTATTGCGATTTTCAGCATGATAATGAACCTAAACCTTTGGCAAAGTTGATCTAAGAGTAGTTATCGAGTAATGCGACACAAACTCTTTGATTGTCCATCAAAATCTCCCGACTCAAGCCCCTTAGAGATGTTGTTCGGCATTCTGAAGCGCTGGGTCGAAGCTCGCAGTTTTAGAAAACTTTGCAGGTTGGGAATGGCTTAAAATCCGATTGGGATTCATTACGAACTACACTAGTAACTAATCTATTCCATAAAGGTGTTTGGAACTCAAAAGGACCAAAGATTTTCATAAGCAGATCAAAAAGTTGCTTAAGTTTCGAACAGCTATTTATGGAGTTAATTCAGTTATTATTTTCTTGTAACTCACAGCGAAATGGAATTAAACTTTTGTTGTTGTTATTATAATGTAGACACATAATATTATTATTATCAATTATATAATTTTGAATAAATCAATTAAAATAGAAAATATAGCACTTTGTATACAATGCCAAAAAAGTTGCTTAGGTTTCGAACAATACTGTATGTACATATATTGTAATAATTTCGACAAAATTTTCCAGAATTTAAAAATTCTTATACACATTAATAAATAGTCAATAGCATAAATGGATCCCTTGACAAGACTTTCGATTAATCGATAGTGATGACTATAAACTTATCGATAATCTAGAATTGACTGATCTATAATCAAATTTATAGATCTATAGTTATGACTTATTGATAGTCAAGACTATAGAGTGATCGACAGTCAAGGCTACATAATGATCTATAGTCCAGGCTAAAGACTGATCTATAATCCAGAGTAATCTATAGTTATGACTGTGATCTTATTGATAGTCATGACAAAAGACTCCTCTAAATTGAAGACAAAAGACTGATCTGTATTCGAGATTATAGACTGATTTATAGTCTAGACTATAGACTGATCTATAATGTATATTCCAGACTATAGACTGATCTATAGTTCAGACTTTAGAATGATCTATAGTTCTGACTATATACTTATCTATAATCTAGATTTTATACTGATCTATGGTCGAGAATAAATACTGATCTATAGTTCGAACTATAGACTGACCTATGGTCCATAGTAATATACAGTCCAAACTATAGACTGATCTATAGTCCAGACTATATACTGATCTATAGTCCAGACTATAGGCTGATCTATAGTCCACACTATTGAATGATCTATAGTGCAGGTTTTGTACTGATCTATAGTGCAGACTGTAGACTAATCTGTACTACAGACTATAGACTAATCTATAGTTCAGACTATAGACTGATCTATAATCCAGACTATAGACTGATCTATAGTTCAGACTTTAGACTGATCTATAGTTCTGACTATATACTAATCTATAATCTAGATTTTATACTGATCTATGGTCCAGACTAAATACTGATCTATAGTCCGAAGTATAGACTGACCTATGGTCCATACTAATATACAGTCCAAACTATAGACTGATCTATATTCCAGACTATATACTGATCTATAGTCCAGACTATATGCTGATCTATAGTCCACACTATAGACTGATCTATAGTGCAGGTTTTATACTGATCTATAGTGCAGACTATAGACTAATCTATAGTTCAGACTATAGACTGATCTATAATCCAGACTATAGACTGATTTATAGTGTATATTCCAGACTATAGACTGATCTATAGTTCAGACTTTAGACTGATCTATAGTTCCGATTATATACTAATCTATAATCTAGATTTTATACTGATCTCTAGTGTAGACTAATCTGTAGTACAGACTATAGACTGATCTATAAGCCAGACTATAGACTGATCTATAGTCCAGACTATAGACTGATTTATAATCCAGACTATAGACTGATTTATAGTACAGACTATAGACTGATCTATAGTCCAGACTATGGACTGAGTTATATGTAGTCCAGACTTTAGACTGATCTATGTATTGACCTATAGTCTATAGTTCATTCTAGTGCAGACTAGATTCTTGTCCAGACTAATCTATAGTCCCGACTAGAAGATAATTGTCTATATTGTAAAACGTATCGTTTATAATGTAAAACGTAGCTACGATCGTAATGCAGAATACCTAGTACAATCGTAAGGAATTACTTCTTATTTCATTTACGATTCCGTTTTATTTTTGGAATAGCTTTTTTTCGATCGTTCTGTAACGGAATGATTAATCGATCGTTGCGTAACAGAATAGAGTGATGGACATTTATAACTTCTGACTTAACGATAGTTAAGACTAAAGACTGATATTTAGTCAATACATTATACTAATTTGTGGTAAATACTACTAGGGACTGATCTGATAGTCAAAACTAAACAATAATCTATACTCAAAATGATAGACCGTTCTATATTCGAAACTTTATACTGATCTTTGGCAAAGATTGATACAATGATCGATAGTTATGATTATACACTGATCTATAGTCAAAAGTTATCTATAGTGGACTGATGGATAAAGTACTATATTGAAGACTGTAGACCAATCTATAGTCAAGATGGATTTTGTTGAATTCCCTTCTCCTTTATGTTTCGTTCCAAATTAGCGAAGTTTTCAGATAAATCCCTGCTACTCCTGGTATTTTTTGCTTTATGTTTTTTTAAGTCAACATTATTACTTTTCTTTTTACATTTGTGTTCTTTTTATGATTTTTCTTATGTATAAACTGAATTTATTATTATTTATTTTTTTTATAATGAAAAATGTATTATTTTATTTTTATTTTTAAAGACTTTTTTTTTAATAATTATTAATTAATAAATATACTCACACTCATACACTCACACTACTATTGTAATGATTTTAAATAAAAAAATTAAAGAAAAATTATATAAAAAATTAATAATTATGATTTATTGCATTAAACCTAATTAATTTTTTTAAGGCTTAACAATAAAACAAAATAAAATGTTACGAAAAAAAAGTTTACATTTTTAATAAAAAACATTTTATGCTTAAAGAAAAAACTAAAAGAAATAAATACACATGTCATGTATGATTTTAATATTTAAAAACAAACGAATATGTATTTAAAAATTCTAATAAAACTAGTTATGAAACAAGAAAAATATAAGAAAAAAAATATAATTTATTAATAATGTATTCAAAATACAAAAACACACTTATGATTAAAAAACAAACAAAGCGTATTAAAAAATTAAAAAAAAAAAAAAAATATTTAATAAATAAGCATTTACAAAGAAAATCTTAAAAATGTTTTAGTTAACAAAACAATTTAAGAAGAATATATTTCTTTTACAACAAGTTTTCTAACACATTATTAAGATTTTCTTTAAAAAGAATAAAATATTTCACATTTCTCATTACAACATAAAAATAATTAAAATGAACTTAGTCTTAACAATAAACAAACAAATAATCTATAAAATTATTAACAAAAAAAAGTGTAAAACAAATAATAATAAAACTGTTATATTATCGACAAAACAATAACAATTAAACAAAGAAGAAGAAAAAAAAAACAAACAAACAAAAACCATGTGAAAAAATAGTTAAACAAAATAAATAAAATACTTCCAAAATAAACACAAATTTAAAAGTTGTTCTTTTTTTTATTATCATATCATTATTTAAATTTCTTAAATTTAAATTTTCACTATAAATTGAAATATATAATATCGTTGACAATTCTACTCGATATTAAAAATATCAATTTTAGAATCTGTGTCTTACATTTTTAGTTAAATGTTTATTAATTTATAAACTTAACACCAATTCCAAAGACAACCATCTGTGGGTTGGCAACCATTTTGTCCAGGATAGTAATTGCAATATTCATTTAAATCCATATATCCACAAGAATTATTTGGACAAATGTATCTATAGCAATAGGGTGAACAAGTCTCTGAATGACGTGCAGCACAGCCGGAACAATCAGCATCTGGGGGGGGTAAAGAAATCAAATTAATAAGGAGGATAATTGCAATTTGAAGTTAAAATAGAAACCTATTCTATGCTTTAGCTAAGGCGATAGTCCATAGACTGATCGATACTCAAGACTTTAAAACTACAGTCAAGACTACTAAAGATCAGTCTAAAGTCAAGACTATAGACTGATCTTTAGTGATCACTATAGACTAGTAGATAGTAAAACTAGGCTAGACTATAGACTAATCTATAGCCAGTACTATAGACTAATCTATAGTCAAGACTATAGACTGATCTATAGTTAAGGCTATAGATTTAAGATACAGTAAAATTATAGTTTATTTAATAGCCAATAATATGGACTGACCTATAGTCCAGACTATTGACTGGTCTGATTCTAAAGTCATCAGAACCAATACGTCTGAAATTATCCGATTTAACTAATGTTCCTCACTTGAATTCAATTCTAATCTTTTAAAAATTAGAAAAAAAAAATTTTTACTTACTTAAATTAATATCGGAATCCCTGCTTTTATACATATTAAATTGAGGATTAGGCGGCATAATCAGAACTGGAGGTTCGTAAAGAATTTCGGGTGCTTTCAAATAAATCACAGGCATTGTGCAAATACGTTTATCACACCTGTGATATTTACGATTAAAACAAACCCATTTTTGGCCATATAATTTACAAATTCTTGGTGTAAAGACTTTACAACAGGAATTATTAGCATCATTATTAGTTGAGGACACGTTCGATTTAATTGGGCTTTCGGTAGTCGAACTCATTATTGATCTAACTGTAGTTAAAGGTTTTTGAGTTGTTGTGGTTGTGTAATAAATCACTTCATTTGTTTGGCTTCTTTCTAGGGTTATAGGTTTTTCATTCTGTTCATTAATAATTTCATTATTAATTTCTATTATTGTTGTTAGATAGCCGGGTTTTTGGCATTTTTTACCACGCCATATTAAACCTTCTGGACATACTGGTTTCAGACAATTGCCTTTATAGTATTCTCCCATAGAACATATGATTTTACGACATTTATTTTTTAACATAATTGAACCCGTTGGACAGCGGGTTTTGATTATTTCAGATGGTATAGGCATTCTGGTTGTTGTCGTAGATTCTGTTGTTGTAGTTGTCGGAAGTGTTGTTGCAGTTGTCGGAAGTGTTGTTGCAGTTGTTGCAGGCGTTTCTGTAGTGTTTTTGCTATCAACCGGGCATGGCTTAATTTTGATTGGATAGCATAAATTGTCCGTGTAAAGTATATAACCTTGTGGACATCTGTAAGAGCTTGCCGTTTGTGTTTGATTGATGTTATTTGGTGGAAATGGTTTATATTCGTTAGGATAGCATAAGCCATCCGTGTGAAAGGTATATCCCTCCGGACATCTTTTAAAAGACTAATTGAAATATCCAAAATAGGTAATTGTTGGAGTTTAGAAATAAAGATAGATAGATAGATAGATAGATAGATAGATAGATAGATAGATAGATAGATAGATAGATAGATAGATAGATAGATAGATAGATAGATAGATAGATATATAGATAGATGGGTAGATAGATAGATAGATAGATAGATAGATAGATAGATAGATAGATAGATAGATAGATAGATAGATAGATAGATAGATAGATAGATAGATAGATAGATAGATAGATAGATAGATAGATAGATAAATAGATAGATGGATAGATAGATAGATAGATAGATAGATAGATAGATAGATAGATAGATAGATAGATAGATAGATAGATAGATAGATAGATAGATAGATAGATAGATAGATAGATAGATAGATAGATAGATAGATAGAGTGATAGAGTGATAGATAGATAGATAGATAGATAGATAGATAGATAGATAGATAGATAGATAGATAGATAGATAGATAGATAGATAGATAGATAGATAGATAGATAGATAGATAGATAGATAGATAGATAGATAGATAGATAGATAGATAGATAGATAGATAGATAGATAGATAGATAGATAGATAGATAGATAGATAGATAGATAGATAGATAGATAGATAGATAGATAGATAGATAGATATATGGATAGATATATGGATAGATAGAGGTATTGATTCGATTGATTTATTTAAAATACTTCAATATTTTAGATTATTTAAAATACTTCAAATATTTAGATTCAATAGATTAAAACAACATATTGAAACATTCAGCTACATCAACAACGTTAAGAAATAATCTGTAGATTAAAATTTTTTTTAAAACATAATTCAAAAAGAAGGAAGCTTTGTCTGTCACACATTTTCATCAAATAATGTTCAATTACGTTGCATTTATTGCGATCAATTTTGCAATATTTTTTAAGTTCCGCTTAATTTTGTTAATAATCAAACAATTACAAAATAAATTTAAATTTTTTTTTTTTTTTTTAAACCGAAAGTGATTTGATTTTAGAAGAAATATCCCTTTACTTCTTTTAAAAAGAAACAAAATACGAAAAATATAATTTCATCCGAATAAAATTCTGCAACAGGAGCATCATTACTAACCAGGTCAACAGTTTGTGTCTGAATTACTTTAAAGTTAACAATAATAATATTTGCCACAAGAACAAGCGTTAGAAAAATTCGCACTTTTTCCATTTCTTCTGTGTTTCCGAAAGCAACTCAAATCACACTGATTATGCGAAAGCTTTTTTTGTAGATTTGTTAGAAGCTATGCTGAAAAAATCATATTTTTACGTTACAACTGATAACAGATCATGACCTCAATGAAAAAAGGTCAATTTTATAAACATTGATAATTTTTTTATGATTTTTATTTCAAATAAAAATATGCAGTTCTATATTAGTATGAATTTTTACTTTTGATGGGAATGTTCATTTAAACGCTTCGCAGAGCAATGATTATACGAAATTATTTGTTAATTGGTTTCGCAATTTTTGTAAGTTCATAACATGATTGGAACATGTTGTTATTATAAAAATAATGTTGTTTCTTTCGAACATTTAGGCATTGGAAATAAATTTGTGTGAAGCAGTTGATGTACCATGTCCAAATGCACCAGTAACACCGTATCCCATAGTTCAGCCTGTACCCATTAATACGACTAATAACCCATGTCCGGTTACTCCTTGTCAATCTTCGGGCTGTGTTATTCAACAAACATGTTGTCCCTGTTCTCAACCATGTCAAACATTAAATAATTGTGGCTATCCTCTGCAGCCTGTACCCACTTATCCTACTAATAACCCATGTCCGGTTACTCCTTGTCAAACTTCGGGCTGTGTGATTCAACAAACATGTTGTCCTTGTTCTCAACCATGTCAAACATTAAATAATTGCGCCTATCCTACCAATTGTTCTAATACACCTGGTTGTGGATCAACTACTCCTTGTGTGGGTTCAACAATTCCATGTGTTGGCCTATCTCCGCCCTGTGTTAATACAACAACTCCCAATTGTCAAACACCGCCAACAACTGTAACAAACCCGCCACCAACAACTTTACCACCACCACCACCAGAAACTACCCGACCTTATGAGCCGCCCATCACTACACATCCTCCCCCGCCGGCACCCATTATCAAATGTCCTCCAGGCACCATTCTTATTGGACAGGAATGTCATTTGTTATATTGTCCTCGTGGCTCACAAATGGAAAATGGTCGCTGTATAATAATTGAATGTCCCGACGGTACTGTTTGGACAGGACATAGATGTTCTGTGCCCGAACCTATTGTTCAGAATCTAACATTTAATTATAACTTTATAACAAAATTTAATCAAACCAAACCGGATATTGTACTTAATAATGTCAATAATATTGTGGTTAATGCCTCCATGACTATACACGATGAATTCAATAACAATAATGAATGCAACCATGATTATGGGGATTGTGAAGAGGAAATTTCAACCGAAACAACAGCAACACAGCCACCACCTTCAAGCACAAAATGTTGCATAGTCAAGACGCCACGCATGTGTGAGCAACGTAACAATCGTTGGCAATGTTATAGTCGTCGTTCTCGTAAATGTGGTGACTTTTGTGTTGCTCCTATTATCTATCTCCAACCTCCTAGTATATACTCCAGACCCCAATATCTGGTAATGCCTCCCATGCAATACGACTGCCAAATGCAGGGAAATTGTGGTCCAATTGGAGGTATAGAAAACACTTTTTTTATTAAATTTTTAAACAATATTTACCATATTCTTCCTTTAGGTGGTTATGATTGTTCCGGTTGTGCCATTAACAATATGTCACGTTGTTCCCCTTACTGTTATCGTTATTCTTGTCCCTCACATAGATGCGATTTTTATGATCAGCAAAAGTATTGCGCTTACAACTTGGGCTCATATGGTTGTCAACAACAAGATGGTTGTTTTGATCATTGGTGTCAATGAGTAGAAAATATCACTTAATCAAGAACTATACATCTTTTATAGGAGATTATCTGGCAAAGTTATCTAAATTTATATTTTATATTAATAATAAAACAAAACTTAATACTTACTTGGATATTTAATATCTCATTCTAGACTGTTATATAGTTTAGACTCTAATCTGTTCTATAGTAACGACTATATACTGTTCTATAATATTCTATAACTGTTCTATAGTCCCTATTATAGATTGTTCTATAGTCTCGATAAACTTTTCTATAATCTCGACTATAGACGGTTCTATAGTCGATACTATGAACTCTTCTATTGTATCGACTATAGACTGTTCTATAGTCCCGACTATAAACAAATTAATGTCGAAGTGCTATACATGAACACCTGCCGTGCTGGCTTAATTTCACGGTGGTTTCTTTCACCCACAGGGTGAGCTTTTGTTACGACTCACCAACGCCCCTTTGATTATCTTACACGCGGGTGGCAATTTTTGTACATTGTTCTGCCGGTCCATGTACAAGCCACTTTGCTCAAGTACTCACTTCCGTTTACAGCCACGCAGATGGGATGGCCTCTGTTGAGTCGGTAACAGCACCTAGAGACGTATTCGGTAGTCCGAAACACTAATCCATCAATGTCCTCGTCTTATTTGATGGATTCGTGTTTCGGACATCCCATCTGTGTGGTTAGTTACTCACAGAGAACACACTGTGGTAAATCAGATATGAACAGAGTTTAGCCTGAACATACCTGGACAAGGAAGGAAAATTTAATGGTATCACTTGTATAAACTCACTTCCGTTTACAGCCACGCAGATGGGATGGCCTTTGTTGAGTCGGTAACAGCACCTAGAGACGTATTCGGTAGTCCGAAACACTAATCCATCAATGTCCTCGTCTTATTTGATGGATTCGTGTTTCGGACATCCCATCTGCGTGGTTAGTTACTCACAGAGAACACACTGTGGTAAATCAGATATGAACAGAGTTTAGCCTGAACATACCTGGACAAGGGAGGAAAATTTAATGGTATCACTTGTATAAGATACCTTTCATCCATCACCATTCAACCCAGCACACTTCCCATTATTCCAACACACTCATTCTTGGTATGAATACCTAACACCAACTCATTTCCTACGCTTTGTTCTATAGTCACTCCTCTGTGGGGTATCTGTTGACTTCGGCAACAGCACCGAACTTATCCTGAAATATTACATCAGTCCTTTAACAGACATTCTCTACCCGCGAATTTGAGTTTAAACAACAGCCACTACTTGGATTCCGAAGGAACCTCAACCAACTAACCAGCCAGGACAAAGTTCTGCGGACAACTGGCCACCCACTGACACACTAATTTTAAAATCATGCATGTTTCATCTAAATATGAACCAGTTCATTATCAGTGCATGCATTTACTACTTTTTTGCACGTCTTTTTTTGCTGGGTAGTTATAATCGATGACTGAATTCATTATCATTAAAACACCCTTTATCATTAAAATACCCAAATTGATTAAATATCAAATGGAAACAAAAATATAAACATTTTTTCATATTCAGTACTGTTTTCATTTCAAATGAATGCAGTTGTATCCAAATTTTATTAAAAAAAGTAAAAGTTTTATTAAATTTCGCAAATAATGAAGTCCAAAGTAAGCAAATAAATGACCAATTAATTTTTTAATATTAAATAAAAATTCCTTATTTTAAGGTATTTCTTTTGGCATTACTTGGCAATTTGTTATTAACAATACAGGCAACGAATATCAACGAAAAGTACGAAAACATCACTATACTAGAAGGCACAAATTCAAGTTATACCAGCAAAGAGGTGGTAGAGGGTAGGGCCATAGTGATACACACTCAACTGCAACATTATGATGAACCCACTTTGAAAGAATATGAAGAGTGTCATAGAAATCTAGAGCAGTGCAAAAATGTCTGCGAAGGTGTTGAAGATCCTATTGCATGTGCTAAACAGTGTCCGGTTTGTCCTTTTCTGGTGAAAGAGCAAATTGTAGTGCAGGGTATTAATGATACTGAAGTGTATTCGGCAGCAAAAGCAGCACCGCTTAATACCACAAATATAATACGTTTGTCTAATCAAATTCAGAATATTATCGAAAGTCATCAGGGTAATATAACGGTGCGCAATGATAACTTAGTGCATGTTCATCAGAATACTTCGAGAGTGGGTGGTAAATTTGGTTTGGGCTATAATAATACTGACCCTTGTTGTATATTGGTGAATATGGCGAAAAGTTGTGATTTAAAGAAATTTTCATCGGCGAAACGTTGTCATCACAAACGGCATCGGGTGTGTGGCAAACAATGTAAAGCGCGTCTAATAATGGCCAAACGTGTGACTCAATGCGATAGCAATCCCTTAATGTTCGATTCAAATGAGGATTATATTGAAGAAAATTGTCGGGAAACAATTAAATATGTACCTTATCATCCACATAGACGACATAATACTAGAACTACCAACAGATGCAGATCTATACCTTCTTGGCCTTATGTGGCCTGCAGTCAAAGTGTTCAAAATTATGAAAATTTAATATGTAGACGTTGTCAAAGTTTAACCTACTATCACATCTTGCAGAGAGGCTTGCCAGCTGAATGCAGTAGATGTTTTATGTCATTCACTAGTCCTACTATGGAAATGTTTCCCTCTTCGTATTCATGGTATCCACTTGGAGGTTCTTCTTTTTCCGATAATACTTATGGTTTAGAAGATAATTTTGATTTATCAGATAGTTGGCAACAGGAGAAAACTAAGTGCCGTTTGCCTAATGGAGAAATAAGTGAAAACTGTCAAAATGCTCAGCACATTGGTGATTTGGAATTATCTTCGCCTTCTAATACTTTAAATCCTTTGCAAGATTTGCCAGAAGCTCAAGACGAATATATAGAGTATAATAATGAGGATTATAAAGATGATTTGGATTTTGAGGATAACATTCGCCGTCGTCGTCAAACTTTTAAGAGATCAAAGTACAGTCGTATATACGGGAAATAAATACCTTAACGATAGCTAACTATAAATTAAACTGGTCTAGATTATAGACTAAACTAGACTATAGACTTGGATATAGACTAGAGTATATATACTACAATATATACTAGACTATAGACTACACTATGAAATAAACAAGAAAAATCATCAAAATTATGCAGAAATAAAGCAATAAAACGAATAAATAATATAAAAAATATATTTATTGAATAATTTAATCAATTAGAGAGATTTAAGACAAAAAAAAAACATAGAAAAAGTTTATTTGTAAAGATTTTCTCAAGAAATAAATAATTTATCCTTTTTGCAGTGCATAACAATACATACAAACAAAAGAAACCACAGTTTAAACGATGAACATACAATAAATAGAAAATATGTTAACAACATTTTAAAATAAGTGACAAAATATTCAAACAATAATCAGTTTTAATAAGAATTCGTTGCAGTGTTTAGAGCAATATAATCCTTTTTTTTTGTACACACACAGAGTTACTTAGTTTGGCAAAAATATAATATTGTATTTAAACACTGCTATCTTAGTTGTTGTTTTTATTATTTATTATACATATAAACTTAATATACACTTTGTTCAAGAGTGTGTGTCATTTTTGTATTATGTATATTTACTAAATAATTTTTAGTAAAAATATGAACATACCTTTTATATCTTCTATGTTAATGTTTCTAAAACTAGGTCTTTTCATTCCGTTCCTTCTCAAGCAAACGTAAACGATGTATCAGTTTCCATTAGCATTTCTTCCAAACGTAAACCAATACGTTTGCGTTTAACATCTAACTGCACTATGGATACTGTAACACGATCCCCAATATTTAATTTAATTTTACCCATATTACTAATATGTATTAGACCATCACATTCTACTCCGATATCAACGAAAGCTCCAAAATGTGTGATATTTGTAATAGCTCCTGTTAGAACATCACATTGTGATAGTTCAGTGATTTTGGTTAAACCCTGTTTAAATAGTGGCCTTTTATCGAAATCACTGCGATAATCTTTGAAGAGTTCACGCTGTAGGGCTAGAAAAACGACATCTAACTGCAAATAAGATGTGACAAAGAAGACTATTAAAGTGTCTTTGAAGAAATGTATTGGTAGTAAATTTTTGGTTCAGGGGCTTGTAAATTGGTAAGTCTAAAATTGCAAACTTACTCGTTCCTTGGGAGTTTTAAATTCTTTAGCCAATTCATCCATATTGGAAAGGTTTTTATAGTTGCTTATCTTTTGTATAAAGTCATCGGAGCCGATATTCTTTAAGTCCAAGTTGCATTTAGAAATTATTCTGATTGAAATGAAATTAACCATAAAAAAAAGAAGTAAGTAGTAAGTAAGTAAGTAAGTAGTAAGTAAGTAGTAAGTAAGTAAGTAAGTAGTAAGTAAGTAAGTAAGTAAGTAAGTAGTAAGTAGTCAGTAAGTAAGTAAGTAAGTATTAAGTAGTAAGTAAGTAGTAAGTCCGTCCGTACGTCCGTCCGTCGTCCGTCGTCAGTCCGTCGTCCGTCCGTCCGTCCGTCCGTCCGTCCGTCCGTCCGTCCGTCCGTCAGTCCGTCCGTCCGTCCGTCGTCCGTCGTCCTCGTCCGTCCGTCCGTCCGTCCGTCCGTCCGTCCGTCCGTCCGTCCGTCCGTCCGTCCGTCCGTCCGTCCGTCCGTCCGTCCGTCCGTCCGTCCTCCGTCCGTCGTCCGTCCGTCCGTCGTCCGTCCGTCCGTCGTCCGTCCGTCCGTCCTCCGTCCGTCCGTCCGTCGTCGTCCGTCCGTCCGTCCGTCCGTCCGTCCGTCTCCGTCCGTCCGTCCGTCCGTCCGTCCGTCCGTCCTCCGTCCCGTCCGTCCGTCCGTCCGTCCGTCCGTCCGTCCGTCCGTCCGTCCGTCCGTCCGTCCTCCGTCCGTCCGTCCGTCCGTCCGTCCGTCCGTCCGTCCGTCCGTCCGTCCGTCCGTCCGTCGTCCGTCCGTCCGTCCGTCCGTCCGTCCGTCCTCTCCGTCCGTCCGTCCGTCCGTCCGTCCGTCCGTCCGTCCGTCCGTCCGTCCGTCCGTCCGTCCGTCCGTCCGTCCGTCCGTCGTCCGTCGTCCGTCCGTCCGTCCGTCCGTCCGTCCGTCGTCCGTCCGTCCGTCCGTCCGTCCGTCCGTCCGTCCGTCCGTCCGTCGTCCTCCGTCGTCCGTCCTCCGTCCGTCCGTCCGTCCGTCCGTCCGTCTGTCCGTCCGTCCGTCCGTCCGTCCGTCCGTCCGTCCGTCCGTCCGTCCGTCCGTCCGTCCGTCGTCCGTCTGTCCGTCCGTCCGTCCGTCCGTCCGTCCGTCCGTCCGTCCGTCCTCCGTCCGTCCGTCCGTGTTCCCTTGTTCCTCTGTCCCCTTTGTTTCCTTCCCTCCCTTTCTCCCTTTGTTCTTCTTTTCCTCTCGTGTTCCTTCCTTTTGTCTCTCCCCTTTGTTGCCCGCCCCTTTTCTTTCCTTCTCCCTCCCCTTTCATTAAAGACAGAAGTCTTAAATCGTTTATTATTCAAGAGTTATAAGAAAATTTGGTTCTTATGCTTTTGTACATATAAATAAACAGAAACTCGGAAACTAGATCCTGTTTCTAAGAAGCTAATTCTACTGGTTATAGTGAGGAATCAAAAGCATATAGGTTTTGAAAGCCAGAAAATGATGAATTACCATAAGCAGAGATGTCACTTTTATTGATGGTGAATTTGAAAATAAAAAGTCTGCTACAGATACAAGATTAATTATAAAAGAAATAAACGTTGATGATAAGTCTCCGGAATTAATATCGTTTGATTTAACCCACAAGGAAAACAAAATGTAAATTCAGAATTAGTTCAAAACAACTCCAGAAGACAACGATACTGAAGTAACTGATAGTGTTATTGATATTAGTAGTGACGATGTTATTACTTCTGAAAGCGGTGATTTTGCTGGATTTGAAACAGCAGATAATAATTCAAGTTCTGAAGAAGAAAATCAAGTCAACCAAAGAGTATCATCAAGATCTACAAAAGGAATACCACCCAAAAGATACGCAAATATGATATCGACTTCAGAGGAACCTAAAAGTTTTAAAGAAGCTATCGAAAGCGCAAGTAGCAATGAATGGTTTTTGGCTATGCAAGATGAAATTAATTCCATGGTAATGAATAACACATGGGATCTTGTTGAAATGCCGAAAGATAAAACACTAGTTGGCTGTAGATGGGTATATAAAATAAAATCAATGGTTGATGGTAATAAGAAGTACAAAGCTCGATTAGTTGCGAAAGGTTATTCGCAAAAATATGGTCAGGACTACGATGAAATATTTGCTCCCGTCGTCAAGATAACAACACTAAGAACTTTACTATCAGTAGCTTCTTATAAAAATATGTTTGTACACCATATAGATGTGAAAACTGCATTTTTGAACGGTGAAATTGATACCGAAATTTACATCAAGCAACCAGAAGGTTTTGTAGAACCAGGAAAAGAAAAACTGGTTTGTAAATTAAATCGTAGCATATATGGCCTTAAGCAATCAGCAAGATGCTGGAATCAGCGAATAAATGATGTTTTCATTAAATTCGGATTCAGAAGGGGAAAAGCTGATAATTGCTTATATGTTAAAGAATACCAAAACGATTTTATTTATGTTCTTATATATGTTGATGACATCATAATTGCCTGCAAGCATGAAAAAGTAGTTAAAGATTTAATAAAGGACATAGAATCAAATTTTGAAATTACAAATTTGGGTTCTTTAAAGTTATATTTGGGAATTCAAATAACAAGAGACAGAAATGGTATATTTTATATGGACCAAAAAGAATACATCAACAAAATTTTGAAAGAAAACAATATGGAAAATGCAAAAGATTCAAAAATACCTTTGGACCCAGGATATTTCAAGATTGAAGATGATAAAATTTTAGAAAACAATGATCAATATCGAAAAGTAATTGGCTCGTTGTTATATTTAGCAGGAAACACTAGACCAGACATCGCATTAGCAATTTCTATTTTATCAAGAAAAGTTAGCAAACCTAATTCAACAGATTGGAATGAAGTAAAGAGAGTAATGCGTTATTTAAAAGGAACTCGAAATTATAAGTTGCGTATTGGAACAAATGAAGAACTAATATTGGAAGGCTTTACTGATTCAGATTGGGCTGGAGATAACAATGGAAGAAAATCTACAAGTGGCTGTCTTTTCAAATTAGGAAATTCAACAATTCATTATGCTGCCAGAAAACAAAACATTGTGACACTTTCTTCTACAGAAGCAGAATTAGTAGCCTTAACTGAAGCAAGCCAACAAGCTGTATGGATAATCCAATTATTAAAAGATTTCGGTCTCGACTCAATACCAAAATTGTTTGTTGATAATCAAAGCACTTTAAAAATTTTGGAATCTGAGAAATAAATTCAAGATCAAACATTTGATGTCAAATACTTTTATGCAAGAGATCTTATGCACATGGAACAATTTTATATGAATACCTTTCAACTGAGGAAATGATAGCAGATGTGTTTACTAAACCACTATCAAGAATTAAATTTTGTAAATTTAGAAACTCACTAGGTCTAATTGAATAACAAAAAATTATGTTATTGAGAAGGGGTTTAACTTGTTAATATGTAAACTTGTTTAATTCAATAACTTTATAAATTTTGTTATTATTTAATCTAGTGTTCATTAATTTTGTATATCAAATTTGTTGAAAGAAAATGTTCTTTACTTCTAAATAAAATTTAATTAAAGACAGAAGTCTTAAATCGTTTATTATTCAAGAGTAAGTAAGTAAGTAAGTATAAGTAGTAAGTAAGTAAGTAAGTCCGTCGTAGTCCGTCAGTAAGTAGTAAGTCGTAAGTCCGTCGTAAGTAGTAAGTAAGTAAGTACGTACGTCAAGTCCGTCCGTCCGTCGTCAGTACGTCCGTCGTCCGTCGTCGTCCGTCCGTCCGTCCGTCCGTCGTCCGTCCGTCCGTCCGTCCGTCCGTCCGTCCGTCCGTCGTCCGTCCGTCCGTCCGTCCGTGTCCGTAGTCCGTCCGTCCGTCCGTCCGTCCGTCCGTCCGTCCGTCCGTCCGTCCCCGTCCGTCCGTCCGTCCGTCCGTCCGTCCGTCCGTCCGTCCGTCCGTCCGTCCGTCCGTCCGTCCGTCCGTCCGTCCGTCCGTCCGTCCGTCCGTCCGTCCGTCCGTCCGTCCGTCCTCCGTCCGTCCGTCCTCCGTCCGTCCGTCCGTCCGTCCGTCCGTCCGTCCGTCCGTCCGTCCGTCCGTCCGTCCGTCCGTCCGTCCGTCCGTCCGTCCGTCCGTCCGTCCGTCCGTCTCCGTCCGTCCGTCCGTCCGTCCGTCCGTCCGTCCGTCCGTCCGTCCGTCCGTCCGTCGTCCGTCCGTCCGTCCGTCCGTCCGTCCGTCCGTCCGTCCGTCCGTCCGTCCGTCCGTCCGTCCGTCCTCCGTCCGTCCGTCCGTCCGTCCGTTCCGTCCGTCCGTTCCGTTCCGTCCGTCGTCCGTCCGTCCGTGTCCGTCGTCCGTCCGTCCGTGTCCGTCCGTCCGTCCGTCGTCCTCCGTCCGTCGTCCGTCCGTCCGTCCGTCCGTCGTCCGTCCGTCCGTCCGTCCGTCCGTCCGTCCGTCCGTCCGTCCGTCCGTCCGTCCGTCGTCCGTCCGTCCGTCCGTCCGTCCGTCCGTCCGTCCGTCCGTCCGTCCGTCCGTCCGTCCGTCCCGTCCGTCCGTCCGTCCGTCCGTCCGTCGTCCGTCGTCCGTCCGTCCGTCCGTCCGTCCGTCCGTCCGTCCGTCCGTCCGTCCGTCCGTCCGTCGTCCGTCCGTCCGTCCGTCCGTCGTCCGTCCGTCGTCCGTCGTCCGTCCGTCCGTCCGTCCGTCCGTCCGTCCGTCCGTCCGTCCGTCCGTAATAAGTAAGAATAAGTAAGTAAGTAAGTAAGTAAGTAGTAATTAAGTAAGTAAGTAAAGTAAGTAAGTACGTAAATTAAGTAAGTAAGTAAGTAAGTAAGTATTTAGTTAGTTAGTAGTTAGTTAGTTAGTAAGTAAGTATAAGTAAAGTAAGTTCAATCAAATCTAATAAATTTATGGACTCATTTTAGCCATGCATAACTCTCGGATGCACCCAGTACAATCCAACAAATTCTCTATATAGTACATCCCAAAATGCGAGGATCGATGCGAATGAAACCAGCACATTGTACAAAAGTCTTTTCTCCAATAGATTTAACTTGCAGTAAATCCTTGCGTGTACGAAATAAACCATTTTCCAAACGATGCTGTATAATTTTCTCAGCTTTTTTCTCCGTCAAACCGGCAATGTGTCTAAGGAACAGAGCAAAAAGATAATAAATAACATATTTACCACCTCAAACAAAAACTTAAACTTACTTAAGCACCGTTATGCTGGCCGAATTTATATCAACACCCACATAGCTCACACATTCCGATACCACTTCATTTAGGGATTCTGTCAGTTGTTTTTCGTTTATATCATGCTGATACATGCCCACACCAATGTGTCGTGGTTCGATTTTAACATATTCACTTAATGGATCATTTAAACGCCTTGCTATGGATACAGCACTTATTTCATTCATATCCATATTAGGAAATTCTTTTTTAGCTACTTCACTACATGAGTATATAGAGGCACCCTGTTCGGATACTATACTATAGCGTACGTTAGCTGAATCTAATATTCCCAATTCAAAAAGTTTCGAAAGCCAAAATTCTGTTTCACGACAAGCTGTGCCATTACCTAAAGCGATGATATTAATCCTGGATAAAAATTAATTATTAAAAACTCTTCTGAACTATTTGAAAAACTTACTTATGCCTTAATAATATTTTTGCCAATTCTTCACCCCACTTTTCGGGATCTGTATTACGTTTATGTGGATACAATACCCCAGTTTCCAAAACATCTGCTGTTTCCGAGATGGCGGCATATTTGCAACCATTCGTGAATCCGGGATCTATACCCAAAATACGTTCTCCCTTTAAAGGAGACATTAACAGCAACTGTTTAAGATTTTTGGCAAAAACATCTATAGAGGCCTTTTTGGCCGATTCATTTAAATCTGATCTAATTTGACGAGTCATTAAGGGTTGCACTGGAATTCAAAATTAAGCATTAAGGAGTACATATTTTAGTTTTATAAACAACACTTACATTTTTTCGTATAACATTCCTCGAAGGCTTTATTGAAAACTTCAAATCTTAAAGGATACTTTTCACCCTCTTCCATAAATATACCGCGCACATAACGTTCTATATCCTTGCGCACATAATCGGCTATAATAATTTTAACCGAAAGAAATTTAAGTTTTTCAGCACGATTTATGGCCAAAATTTGATGTGGTTTCATATAGCGTACATCATTTTGATAGTCATAATAGGTTTCATATTTTGAAGCATCATTTTTATTATTACCATGACCACCGTGGCCGTGTGAGGAAGTTGAAGCTGTTGATGAATCTTTATCTTTGCCTGTGGGTGTTTTAACTTTTGAAGTTTTTAAAACTATACGATGGACCTTTTGCCTAGAATGGTAAATTAATGTAGTTATTTTAGTAAAAATGTTAGAGATTTTTTAAATGTTAACATACAATCTTCTTAATTCTTCCAAAACTCCAGTATGTTTACTTATATTGTGTGATATAATGTGGCATATACCAGTTATAACTTTTTCTTCCGTATCCATATCGGGATTCTTACGATCTACTAGTTGCCGTGTAGAAACTTGTGGCAGTTCTCCGTAGAGTAAACGATCTGCATATTGTTCTAACCCCAAAGCTTTAGCTCTTTCAGCTAATGAACCTTTGCTGGCTGGTTTATAAGGTGCATACTGAAGTTAAGATAAAAAAGTAATAAGTAAAGATATTTGTTTAGAACTTTTCGAAAAGTTTATTCAGAGATAAACTTACCAAAAACTCCAATTCCTCAGTGGTTTTGGCACACAACATTTCCGTTCGAATTTCCTCATCGATAACATTTTCCTTTTCCAGCTGTGTCACGATCGTCTCCGCTTTTTTACGTAAATTAACAATTTCCGTATAACTGTTCTTAATGTCACGCAACTTTTCCGGCTCAATGTGATCGACCAAATCGCGACGATAACGACAAATAAAGGGGATAGTATTTTCATTTTCGAACAGTTGAACAATATTACGGGCAGCACGCGGCTCAATGTTAGTAGTTTCGGCCAATAGTTCATCAATAGTCCACACCTTGCGGCGTGCTAAAGAAAACAAAATGTTAAACAGGATAACTGGAAGTGACTACCAAACTTACCCCAAAAACTATTTCTGCCTTGGTGTCTACTAACACGTGGTTGTTCGTCATACATACTTTCATTATTTAAACCACAACTAGTATCTAGTGCTTCTGGCTCCAAACACTGGCCATCTGTTACATCTCTAGCAGGTGAATCTCTTATCTCTTGTACCTCGTCAGCATCATCATCTTTGTCATTACTTTCGCCAACATTTGGTGGTGTATTCTCATCAGTTTTAGACGATTCTTTAGATTTTTTATCTCCTCTGGGTTTACGTGGTTTAGGTTCCTTTTTCTCTTTAGAAGAGGAAGCCTTCTCTGCGCGAGTTCTGGTAGATTCTTTCGCAATTACCTTTATGGTACGTTGTCTTTTTTCTGGTGATGCTCCCTCATTTTCATCGCTATCTGATAATTCTATAATACTTGTTACTTTAGTAGCAGCTCGTCTTCTAGGTCTGGTCGATAAGGACATGGCTGGTGTTTAAATTAAAAAATTGTAATGCCAACAAATTAAAGCGCTAAAATTTAAAAAAAGTTAACAAACAATCAAAGTATATTAATAAAGTAGCGACATCTCTTGTTGTACAACAACATCTACAACAACCACATGTATTTTGTTTTTGGAATAATTTAAGATTGTGTCAAAATAAAATTTCCTTGAACAACAATGTGAACAAAACATAAATAAAAAATATTACTTTTAAGTTAAAAATATTAACGATTTTATTATATATTATACAATTTATTACACTTTTAAACTACTTTAAAACCACTTTTAATTCACTTTTTCAACTTTTCACAAATTTTAACAAATAGCAAAACACAATTTAAAAATGGCGAAACAATGTTAACAATTTTCAAAACAAACTTTGACAACTTGCTTCATTTATCTAGTTTAAAAAAAATAGTCAGCTGTTCAAGTGATGCTACTTTATTAATTAACTTTGCAAACAATGTATTAAGGTGAATTCACATACCCTACAAGAACAGTGACAGTCATTTGATAGGTCATTTGACTGGCACTACTGATGTATTATTTCTATCACAGCGTAAAGCAAAGTTTCTATCAGTTTCTTAAGGCAAATGGACAAAAGTGATGGAAACATTTGTGTACATGTGATTTTTCTTCTCCCTTGCACTTATGAATTCTATCGACTTTAAAACATATATTTGAGCTCCTCACTCTTTTGTTGTTTACTAACCAAGGATAACATAAATATTAGTCATGATTGACTAATCATGCTTGATGGATATATCCATCACAGTTAACAAATTAAAAATGATGTATTTATCGGTCATTGTTGACTAATCATATGTGATGAATATATCCGTCAAATGTGACGGCTATACCAATTTATAATAAAACACAATTTATTATTATTATAAAATATATATTTGTTAATTTTATTAATATAATAATCATGTACATAAATTAACAATCATTTCACCATTTTACATACCTCGCAGGATCTTAAATCCGCTGATGCTCCTTTTAATTTGTGGAAATAAGTTGTCTGTAAGAAATACATATAAATATCGATATATAAAAATTAAAAGTAAGTAATCATGTTACCATAGATTGATTAAACTCCGAAGTGTTTATCTTCAGCTCCACTTCCTGCACTATTTTTAAATTCTGTTTATAATAATTCTCTTTATTTTCAATAATTTATAGACTTTGTAAATTTTGAAATTTTTCGCTTCTTGATCTTTGGCTTTTACAGAAATAATTAATTTATAACGTCGAAATATATAACTCTAAAACACAGTACAGTCAAATGTAGTTGTTTCACTCTTTCATATGCAAATGAAACCCTTTACCACACATTGGGTACATTAACAGTCATTTTACCGGTCATTTGACTGTCATTATTGATGGAATTATCCATTAACTATTTTTTTTAGCAATTTTATAAAAAAATGTTGCAAGAGTGTTAGTGAAATCATTTTGTATGTGTTAGTTTCGGTCATACATTTCTTGTAGGGATAAAGTGGTGGGCATGGGGCAGCTAATAAGGTGAAGACATTTCAACAGCTGATTATTTTCTTGTTAATGTAAATTTATCTCGAAGCTGTCAAATTCCATACCAAGGCGAATTCACAAATTTTATTTAAGAAAAATATAGTTTTATACCTATTTTATATAAACACTGTTAGACAACGTGAGTAACTAAAAATATCGGGAACAATTTATATAAAGAAATACATATGAAGTAATTACTTGACCGTCGACAGCTGATTTTTATATTATTGCTTATGCAAGTTGACACGGTTGTTAGTTATTTTTTCTGACATACATAGCTTTTTTTCTTTTTGACATCTACGTTAACCAAACCAACAAACTATATATAAAATGTTGTTGTTGCCGAACTGCCCCCACCTTATGTGAAATCGCCTTGGATTTTATCTTAGGTTGAGATACAATCCGTTTTTCTGGCAAATAATTAATTATTTAACATGTAATGCTATGTTTCCACTGAGGTGTTTTGAACAAATCTAGTGGATTTGGGCAAAACTAATGTAAATCATGTAGATTAGCCATACATTTTTGACAAATCCAAATCTACTTAATCTACTAGATTTGATTTAAAACATGTCGAAAATGTATTTTTTTCGAACAAGATTTGCTAATACAACACTGCGTCTAGTATAAGCAAATACAACTAGAGGCTATCCATTCAAGTTGAATGTTTTCATCGAAAAAGTGAATTAATTTTGAAATAAAAACAGAAAAAATTATAATTTATAAAATTGCTTTCGTAAAACTATTTTATTTTTCATATTTTTTAAGTAATAGTAATTTATATCTAAGAAACATTGATTTTTTTAAAATAAGTTTAAGTTAAAGCAGCGACTCGATTCGAGCAGCAGTGTTGTATTTTACTGTACGCTGGCGGATACCTAAAGTTAGGGTTCTATAGTTGAAACGAAAAGTCGACTTTTCGACTTTTTGCATTTAGTTAAAAGTCGACTTTTCGACCTTTCGACTTTTTCCATTTTATGAAAAGTCGATTTTTCGACTTTTCGACCTTTTTCATTTATTTAAAAGTCGACTTTTAGACTTTTCGACTTTTAGTATTTTATAAATGGTCGACTTTTTCCGACTTTTCGACTTTTTCCGATTTTTTTTCGACTTTTCGACTTTTTCCGACTTTTTCCGACTTTTTTCGACTTTTTTCGACTTTTCGACTTTTTCCGACTTTTTTCGACTTTTCGACTTTTTTCGACTTTTCGACTTTTTCCGACTTTTTTCAACTTTTCGACTTTTTCCGAATTTTCGACTTTTCGATTTTTTACGACTTTTTGACTATTTTCGACTTATTTCGACTTTTTTTCGACTTTTTTCGACTATTTTTTACTTTTTTCGAGTTTTTCCGACTATTTTAGAGTTTTTGACCTCTTTTCCACTTTTTTAAAATTTTCGACTTTTCGACTTTTTCCGACTTTTCGACTTTTCGACTTTCTTCGACTTTTTTCGACTTATCGACTTTTTTCGACTTTTCGACTTTTTTCGACTTTCCGACTTTTCGACTTTTTTCGACTTTTATTTACAAAGTCGACTTTTCGACTTTTTTCATAGACGATAGTCGAGTTATCGACATTTTTGGAATAAAATAGTCGACTTTTCGACTTTTTTCGACAAAAAGTCGATTGTTCGATTATTCGAAAGTCGATTTATAGAACCCTACCTAAAGTTGATACTTTACATGGTGTCTCACTTATAATTTAAAACCTTGTAAGAATTTGTAATATAAATATGAATGTAAACAAAAAACAGCTGATTTTATTATGATAACTAAACACAGCTACTAGTTTAAAATTAAACAGGCACTTAACCAAAATTGTTAAACAATTTATGATAAAATAGTTTTTTAAGCAAAATTATACAATCAATATGACTGTTTTCAGAACGATATTATTAAGAACAAATACAAAAAGTTTTATTAATCATAGACGTTACTTTAGCAGTAAGGATATACGTAATATAGGCATATTAGCCCACATAGATGCCGGTAAGTTGTGTTCTTGTATAATCAACAAAAAAAACACTTGTTAAGTTTGGAACAAATTCAAAATTTTTTTATATTATAGGAAAAACTACCACTACCGAACGCATGCTCTTCTATTCGGGCAAAACAAGATCTTTGGGTGAGGTCCATAGGGGTAATACAGTAACAGATTATCTCTCACAGGAAAGGGAACGTGGTATAACAATATGTAGTTCAGCGGTAACATTTCCTTGGAAGGATAAAAAGTATAATTATATAAAATATGTAATAGAAATTTTTTAAATGTAGTTTGGTTTTTCTACAGATTCAATTTATTAGATACTCCCGGTCATATAGATTTTACCATGGAAGTGGAGCAGTCTCTTTATGCTGTGGATGGTGTTGTTGTAGTTTTGGATGGTACGGCGGGCGTAGAGGCTCAAACTGTAACTGTATGGTCTCAGGCGGAAAAACATCGATTACCCAAGATAAGTTTTATCAATAAAATGGATCGTCCTGATGCTGATTTCGAGAAATGTGTTCAGGATTTGTCAGCAAAATTGGATGCCAAGCCAATATGTATACAATATCCTTATAAAGATGATAAGGGAAATTTATGTAAGTTAAGATTAGTAATCATATAATAATAACGTTACGCCAAAGTTAAATACAAATCGCTAGAACGTTAGGAAATATAAAGAGAATTAGTTAGATCTTTGTTTGCTTAGACTTAAGTTTGAAACAAGTTTAGTTGTAAAAAATTCCTTTAATTTTAAAATTCCAGCTGTTTTTGATATTATACGTCTGGAACACAATACCTGGGATGCTAAAAGTTTGGGACGTATTTACAAATCAGAACCTGTAAGCGATGAAAGTCTTTTATTAGAACTGCAAGATAAACGTAATGCCCTAATAGATGAACTCTCCGGTATTGACGACAACCTAGCCGATGTTGTTATCAGTAGTGAGGGCTTTGATAAGGTAACAAATGAAATGATTTATGCTGCTTTAAGACAAGCCACCTGCCAACACAAAATTGTTCCTGTACTACTGGGTTCGGCCTATAAAAACGTGGGCATACAAAAGTTAATGGATGCTGTTGTAGATTATTTACCTCATCCTCAGGAACGTAATCAACTCTATGATTGTTTTGAGTATGTATAAAATAAAAATTCCAATGAAATTACATAAATTAATACATGCCTTTCCCTTAGAAAAGATTTTGTGGGCAAAGTTTTCAAAATAGTTCACGACAAACAAAGAGGTCCCTTGACTTTGGTGCGTGTTTTAAGAGGTAATATGACTAAAAGTATGCGTTTGACCTCTACCAGAGCTCAAGCGGAAACTGTGGGTAAAATCTATGAACCCTTGGCAGATGAATACAGAGAAATTTCTTCGGTAGAGGCAGGAGATGTAGCCATTTGTTCGGGTTTAAAGGTATTAAAGAAAAGTGCAATGAAAATTGCAATATATTAAAGAAAATTCCACATTTTTAGCACACTGTCACCGGAGATTTGCTGGTAACTAGCACAACATCTTTAAAAAATGCCCAAAAACGTTTAAAAAAACAATTGGGCACTCAACAATCCACTGAAACAACTGCTTCGGAAGAAGATATCGAAACAGATTTAATTAATGAAATATTTTCCTTAGAACCACAAATACCCGATGCTGTATATTTCTGTTCCATAGAACCGCCTAGTGTGTCCTATCAAAATGCCATGGAATTAGCCTTAAAACAGTTACAACGAGAAGATCCCAGTTTGCGTGTTTCCCATGATACGGTGACGGGACAAACGGTTCTAGGCGGTATGGGTGAATTACATATGGATATAATAAAATCTCGTATTTTAAGTGAATATAAAATCGAAGTGGATTTGGGTCCTTTGCAAATAGCCTATAAAGAAACTATTGCCGAACCAGCTGTTAAGACATTTAGTATTGAGAAAGAAATAGCCGGTTCCAAGCAAAGTGTTTCTATTACCTTGGAATTGGTGAAAGATAATAAGGAGCTATTTAGTCTGTATAAAACTTCAGAGACTACAAATAATTTACAGGCATTAAGGCCGCGTACTTTGCAGGTTATACGTAAGGGCTGTATTTCGGCATTGGAAAGGGGTCCCAAAGTTGGTGGTCAAGTAGTGGAAACACAAATAAGACTGCATAGTGTGACTATTGGTCGCGGCACGGCGGATTCGTTTTTAATGGCAGCGGCTGCTCAATGTGTGCAAAAGGTAAGTTTTAAATTTTTTATTAATAAAGCTTTTTTCGCTAAAAAAATTATGATTTCCATAAAAAATTTTTTTTTTTGCACTAACATAGTTTTTCAATAAAAAAGCTTTTTTCACAAAAAAAGTTTTATTAAAAAGCTTTTTCACTAAAAATAAAGACGTTTTTCACAAATTTTTTTTTTTTTTTACTAAAAAAAATATTTTTTCACGATAAATAAGCTTTTTCAATAAATATGCTTTTTCGCAAATAAAACATTTTATCACTAAAATGTTTAATTTCACAAAAAAAGCTTTTTTCATTAAAAAGTTAATTTCATAAAAAAAACTTTCTTCACTAAAAACTTTTATTTCACAAAAAAACTTTCACTATAAACTTTAATTTTAATACATATTCTAGATTCTAGCCGAAAATGAAACCCGCCTCTTGGAACCCATAATGGCCATACAAATTGTCATACCCAGCGATAGAACTTCAAGCATTTTATCTGACTTGGCACGCCGTAGAGCCGTTATCAATGACGTCCTACCCAAAGGCGATAAAAATAAATTGATCCTTGTTAATGCTCCTTTAGCTGAATTATCAAATTATTCTAGTATTTTAAGAACTATAAGTTCTGGCACAGCCAGCATGACCATGCAGCCTTGTGGATTTTCACTAATGCAAAGCAACGATGAGGATCAAGCCATAAGAAGAGCTCAGGGTTTTGAATAGTTTTAAGTAAAACATAAACTACAATAAATTACAACTCTGCTGATTTCAATTATTTTCCACCTTGTTTTTCGAAATAAAATTAAAGCAACATTTTCTAAATTTATCTACAAAAAAAAAAAAACTTTAAAAAAATTTTCTCATCCTTTAAACTTTTCAAATTGCATTAAAAAAACTTTGATTTTAAAGAAAAATAAAATATTTTCGTTACTGGCTGGATTTAATAAATATTTTGCTATTTGTATAAAGTAAAACTATTCAAATTACAAGTTCTTTGAAAGATTTTCCTTAAAAAAGAAAGCCAAAGTCATGGCATTTTCCACCCAAAAAGATTTTTTTCATGTACCCTTTATGAATGAAAGTCCTGAGTTGGGCTGTAAGAAAGCTTGCGTTAAACTTAAGAGTTATGAATCTACCATAGATGATCGTTCATGGGCAAGTGATGAAGCGAAACAATCGAAGTTCTTAAGCGATTTGGTAACATGTCAATATCCGGTGAGTTTTTTTTTTTTTGGATGACGCCTTAAATCAATAAAGAAATTAAATATTTTAATTTTGCCTTTTTAGACTGCTGTGGGTTTTGGCGAAGGAGATTTTAGTAGTTCAGATATTCATGTTGGACGGGATGAGTCTCATGATTATGTTAGTGCTGGTAGAGGTCCTAGTAGTAGTACAAGACCTCGTAATCAGGGTGATGTCTCTGCAGGTGGAACGAAAGATGTAAGAATATTTTAAAATCAATCAAAGATTATTATAGACTACATAAAGGTCAGCCAGAATATACTAGATAAAGTCCAGACTAGGCTAAATGCTATACCAAGGACTAGAGTAAAAACTACAGTAAAGACTAGACTATAAACTAGATTATAGACTAGTCTATAGACTGGACTATAGACTAGTCTATAGACTGGACTATAGACTAGTCTATAGACTGTACTATAGACTAGACTATAGACTATGCAATAGACTAGACTCTAGACTATGCAATAGACTAGACTATAGGCTAGACTATAGGCTAGACTATAGGCTAGACTATAGACTAGACTTTAAGCTAGACTATAGACTAGTCCATAGACTAGACTATAAACTAAACTATAGACTAGACTATAGACTATTGACTATGCTATGGACTAGATTAGATTATAGTCCAGGATATTTATAATATTTCCACACATCCAGAACATATTACCCCAACTAGGAAACTTAACTGGTGGCGATAGTCTACTCGAATGTGCCAATGCCCATTTGGCGGAATATCCAAAAATTTTGAATATAAAAACTACTCTCGAAAAACAATTAGAAGTCTCCAATGAACGACTCAAAACAGCCAAAGAAGAGAATAAACTAGATTATAGACTAGTCTATAGACTGGACTATAGACTAGACTATAGACTATGCAATAGACTAGACTTTAGACTATGCAATAGAATAGACTATAGACTATGCAATAGACTCGACTATAGACTAGTCCATAGTCTAGACTATAAACTAAACTATAGACTAGATTAGATTATAGTCCAGGCTATTTACTTTACTAATTATAATATTTCCACACATCCAGAACCTATTACCCCAACTAGGAAACTTAACTGGTGGCGATAGTCTACTCGAATGTGCCAATGCCCATTTGGCGGAATATCAAAAATTTTTGAATATAAAAACTACTCTCGAAAAACAATTAGAAGTCTCCAATGAACGACTAAAAACATCCTAAGAAGAGAATAAACTAGATTATAGACTAGTCTATAGACTGGACTATAGACTATGTAATAGACTAGACTATAGACTATGCAATAGAATAGACTATAGACTATGCAATAGACTGGGCTAGACTATAGACTCGACTATAGACTAGTCCATAGTCTAGACTATAAACTAAACTATAGACTAGACTATTGACTATACTATAGACTAGATTAGATTATAGTCCAGGCTATTTACTTTACTAATTATAATATTTCCACACATCCAGAACATATTACCCCAACTAGGAAACTTAACTGGTGGCGATAGTCTACTCGAATGTGCCAATGTCCATTTGGCGGAATATCAAAAAATTTTGAATATAAAAACTACTCTCGAAAAACAATTAGAAGTCTCCAATGAACGACTCAAAACAGCCAAAGAAGAGAATAAAAAAATACGAGAAATTTTAACCACCAAATTAGATTCGAACACGGCCAAAGATTTCTTCAATAAAATACAAAAACTTACCACTGCCGGCAAACTAAATAAGAATGAAGAAAATGAAATGCTGCAAATCTATCAGAAAATGGAAAATCTGAATAAATCCTATGAAATATTGCAGGCTGAAAATAACTATCTAAAACGTTTAATAGAAAAATTGACAGGACGTGTTACTTTAGATAGTATACAAACACAACCCGAGAAATCTAATGATATCAGTTATTTGCAAAAAGAAATAAATACATTGCGCAAGGAGTGTATAATGTTAAGGAAAATGGAGGATGAATATCAGAGATTAAAACAACAGCAACAAACTAATAGAATGCCTAGCATTAGTGAACAAGATGCTGAAAATATTAAAGCCATTATAAAAGAACGCAATAGTTTGAGGGAGAAATGTAAATCATTTAAGGCTTTAGAACAACAGGTTCAGGAACTGCAACAAAAAGCTGCAGAGGCCAATGAAAAGGCGGGTATATTGAGTAGTAATTTAAATAACCAAACACATTATATCGGCAAAATGGAGGGAGAAATGCAAAATATGCAAAAATACTATGAAGATCAAAATCAAAATGCCTGTTTTAAAGAAGAATGTTTAAAGGTAGGAAACAAACCGGGTTTTTTAATGTTTTTGTGTTTTTAGTTAAATTCTTATTTTTCTTACTATAGGCTGAACTGGAAGACTTAAAAAATGAATTGGTTAAGGCTAAATGTCAAGCTCAAAAAGCCGATATGTTGGCCATGGAAGTTTCTAGTCTGCGTAATGAGGTTCTTAAACGTGATTTAGCTTTAAATGACTACGATTGTCAGTATAAACAGTTAATGGTGAGTGAAACTTATTTATATTTGAATATAATTTTGACATTTCTCTTTATACTTATAAGTATAAAACAAAAGCTTTTAAAAACAGTGGCTATCGTTTGCAACCTTTAGATGACTAAGGTCTGTCAAATGTGGGTATGTTAAGGGCCTAAATATTGGGAAGTCATTTAGTTTTGAAAATTGTTTAAATTATTGTTTTTTGTTTAAATTTAAATTAGTGTAAATGGGATTTCAATGTAAATAAAATTGTTTGCTTGCATTAAAACAATTGTTGAAGAATTGGACTAGACTTTAGACTAGACTAGAGATATTAAAGTTATAACTACCAAAATAAAATAATAAACTTAAATTAAAAATCGCATTTTTATTATCTCTCCTTTAACTTTCTGAATTCCAGGACGTAGTAAATGAGTTACAATCTGTCAAATTACAATGTCTGCACGACAATCAAACTCAAACAGGTAAAAACCAAACTGATGAATTGGCATTTTATACTTGTGCCACATTAGATGAAATTTTGAAAGAACTAAAGAAAAGAGGTTGTCTCAACGACGAGACCATGATTGCTTATGGGCTAGAGCCAGCACCCAATGACTCAACGTTCGAATATGACAAACAATGCTGTAGAGAAATGCGTCGTCTGCAGCAGCAAGTGGATGAGCTGAAAAAGGAAATGGAAGAAGGTAACCAGTGCGAAACTATGTGTGCAGACGCCCTAAAACGTTTAAAGGAATTAGAAACGGAAAATAACAAACTTTTACAGGAAAAACAGTATTTAAATGAAAAACTTAAAGATGGTGAAGACAAAATGGTCAATATGTTAAATAAAATCGAACATTTGGATAAAGAAATCAATAAAAATGGCCAAGAAGCCAATAGAATAGGCAGAGACTTACAGGGAACAATGGGTTTGGTGCGAGACATCAGTGATGTACAGTTGAGAAATCAGCAATTGGCAAATGCAGTTAGCGCCATAAACTCGCGAGATGATCAAAAGATAATTGATGATCTGCGCCGTCAATTGGAGGAGGAATTGGCTAAACTTAAGAAATGCCAAATAGATAATGCCAGACTACAGGAAGAAGCCAAAGTACGTGAAATGGATTTAAAAGAACTTAAGGATCTAAATAATAAATTAGAGGCCGATAAGAAAAAACTCGAAAAGGAATATAATCAATTGCAAAATGATAAAGACAATTTAAAGAATAATCTTAATAAACCGGAGGGCAAAGCGAAAAAAGGTAATAATGAAGAATTGGAAAATGACAAACATAAATCGGAGAAAGTTGACAATAAATCTAAGACTCCTTTGGACAAAGATCAAGCTAAACCGAGTGAATATAAAGATAATGAGAAAAACATGGACAAATTTAAGGCTCCGTTAAATAAAAATCCAGATAAATTGGTTAAATCTGAGGAATTAACGAACAAATCTAAGACTTCTTTAAGTAAAAATCAACATAATTTTGGCAAATCTCCACATAGTGAGGAAATAACGGACAAATCTAAGACAAGTTTAAGTAAAAATCCAGATCAATTAGGCAAATCTCTACATAGTGAGGAAAAGGCAGAAAAAAAATCTAAGACTCTTAACAAGGAACCAGAAAATTCCCTGGAATATCATGATAAAGACGAAAAAACAGACTCAACAAAAACTGCCATTAATAAAGCCCCCGATGTTAGGGTCTACAAAGATAGTCCTAAACAGGCATTAAAAGATACAAAGCAAAATAAAACAAAAACAGACAATCGCGAAAATAATTTACGAAATAGTGATAATATTAAAAAGCTAGTAACGAAATAAAGCAAGAACAACCACCGGACGATATTAAAACATCAATTTCTACTAAGACAAAAGCTGCAGCTTTAGAGGAATACGGAAAGAAAGTGGGTGTTTTTATACAGCCAAGCTCAGACCAACATAAAGCTGCAGCTTTAGATGATTTTGTTTATAAAAAATCCGATACTTTAAAATCTAATCTTCAACAAGGTCGCAGCTTCGAAAAGGAATTACGCAAAATACTGGAAGAGTTTATACACGAATGTGGTTATTGCTTTTGTCGCTTATTCAATACAAAATCAAAACTATATGTCATTTGTCATAAACTGTATCATAGCGGCATCGATACACTCTCATTTCGAGAGTTGGCCTATCTTCATAAGAAAATCTATGCCCAAGCTGAGCAATTACTACCGGGATGTTTGCTCGACATGATATTGTCGGATCATCGTGAAAAAGTGGAAAGTATGTTGAATATTTCAATGGCCGAGCCACGTTTAGTTGGTGGTCGTGAGGGCGATTTGAAAATGTCCGAATCAAATGTTATGTTTAAGGAACAGAAATGCTGTTGCTGTAAGAATGAATTATGTTGCAGTAATTCAGAGGAAATGCTTAAGGACAAGGGTGAGTAAATAATTGGGAAAATATATGTAAATTTTGTATAGACTAGATTATAGGCTAGACTATGAACTAGACTATAGACTACTCTATAGACTAGATTATAAACTAGAATAATATTCTAATCGAAATATTAACAGAAAAGGTTTCTTTCGCGAGTAATATTTTTTAAATTTTCTAATCTCTTATGATTTATTTATTTATATCAATAGTGAACAAACTAGAAAAGGACATTGAAATCGCTCGTGACTATTTGGAGACATTGAAAAATATCCCCTTGGAAACTAGTCTACCAACTGATAATGGTGATTCCACTGATACAAATAAGTAAGTTTTTGATCAACTTTTCAAATTAATATTTTTTAAGTTTTGTCTTTTTCCAGTTCAACTTACAGAGCCTCTTCTACGGTGATGATCCAACAAAAATCACGCAATTCGAGACATATAAAAAAACTAAAATCTCGCTTAATTAAACATCCAGATATTTAACATTTATTATTAAGTTTATTTTTTAAGACAGGCTTAGAGTTTTTTTATGTATGAATATATTATATATGTATATAAGGCCACATATATATTTTTATTGTATATATATATATCTATGGGGAATGATTTAAATTCTAAGATATATTTTATCTAAATACTTTTAATTTCTAATTTTGGTTAAATGTTTAATTAAAATTATGAGATTTATGGGTATTTATTATAAAATGTATTTTATAATATAAACTTTTCACTATAGAAAATATTGTTTATAAACTATTTTTTAATATTTTTAAATAAAACTATAGAAGTATTTTCACTAAAACCGCTTTTAACAGTTTTTCGTTAGAATCTCTAACTTTAAAATCTGTATTAAAACAAATTTTTTCGGGTATTCCCGATCATAAACTAATGACTTGTATTAAAACCAATTTTTTGCCGGGTATTCCCGATCATAAACTAATGACTTATTCTTGTTGTCTTCAAAATTATGATATATACTCTTTGCGTTTAATGAAAACCCGACTTTTCGAGCTACTTTTAATATTAACTTTCAACTTTCTTTCGACTTTCATTTACAGTTTTCTCAAAAGGAGTTTTTTCTCAAAAATTGTGCATTTATTACGAAAATGTGTAAAAAATCTCAAGTAATATTAATAAATTACCGTTAATTCAAGATAAGGCTGGCAACTCCACTACTCTCCACATCAACAGTGTTGCTTTTTAGCAACAGAGTTGCATTTTTCAGAACTACCAACTAAACAGCCAAAAAAAAAAATTCCCTTCACATGATGGGATATTTTTCAACTGCCAATCATATGATAGCAAATAGTAAAAGTCAGATATTTTTTGTACAATTCCAACGTAACTTGAAGTGGGCGCACACATCTACAAATTTCTGCAAGTGAATATCGACAATTTTGTATAATAGTTCAGCAAAAAAAAAAAAAAGAAAATTCAATAGAAATTTATAATAAAAAGTGCAATAAAACTAATAAATTTTTACAAATTTTACAGGAAACGTGTGAACGCGGCTTTAATTATTAAATATATAACTTTGATTTGTGTGTAGCAGTTAAGCAAGAAGAAAAAACAGCAAAATGGCTTTAAGCGATGCTGATGTACAGAAACAGGTAAGAGGACAAGAAAAAAAAGCTTGTAATAATTGAAAAAAAGTATGGAAAAAACCAAAAGAAATTACATGCTATAAACGAAAGGAGTTCTTTCTCATGTTGTAAAAGTAATAATTCATTCATTGATGAAAAATATATCTACAAGATGGCGTATTAAGTAGTTAATGCCCCAAAAGTCATGGGATATGTCATGTGAATATGTATGTGTCTCTTTAGTTGTTTTTTTATTATTATTTGTTTTGTTAATTGCTTACAAAAGCAAAACAAATATTTTAGTTAATTTTATTACTTAAATTTATTTTTATAGGGGGTTTAAATTCTTATTAGAATTCCTTTTTGCTGATGAAAACAAAATTCCTTTGCATATTTGCAATATTTTTTCTGCGTTTATGAAAAAGAAAAAATAAAAGAAACAACAGAAAAAAAAAGAGGGTAGCAGTCATGTGACTTGGTTTTGTTGAAGGTTGCTCTCATTAGTAAGAGCAAGACAGTTATAGATTATGTGTATGTTTGTTTTTACTCTTAACAGTTATTTGTCTCTTTCTGTCGTGTTATCACACATATGTATGCATTTATTGTGTGTATTAAAAGCATAGAAATTTTTTAAGGAGGGGAATTTTTTTCTGTGTAAGGGGTGGTGGGTGGTTGATTGATGTTTTGTGAAACTTCGCATATAAAATGCTTAGAAAAGAAACTTAAACTATGTCAACAATCATTATTCTCTTTCGTCTTTAAGTTTATGATGTTCGTTGGGCATTTTAATTGAAATTATATAATTTAATCACAGTATGTTTAATAGTAAAAGAATTATGCTCGCCACACCGTCTGTAGGGGTAGGGGGAGCTGATGTTTGTGTAGCATAGCAATGTAGGTTTTACCTTAAAGTTTAAATCCTTTCTTCCCTGTTCATTTTGTAATCGATTGAAAAGTACCACATTTTAAGATTATTTAATGAAATTTGTTATGTTATGTTTTATTAAAACAAACACGAATTACAAATACAAATGATCTCCCCAAAAATTGTTTATAAGTGGACAATACATGGACCCAACATGTCAATATGGACTGCTACTATTTATGGTAATAAATGATACGAAATAACCCGATCATTACAAGGTTTGCTTAAACCGCAGTGAAGATTTTAGAAGATTATTTAAATACTTGCCCCCATTATCTGAACATCTAATTATTTTTTATCCTAACGATAAATTGACTGTTTATACAAAAATTATTTTAACCGGCAGTATATCTACCGGTTAAACGGTAAAAATTCAGATTCAAATTTACCAGATTCAAATTTACATTTTAATTGAAATTAATATTTTGTCAGCTTATGTTTGAATAATTTTTTTGCACTTGTATTTATCTCATTTTCAAATTAAAACTCTAATCATTTTTTAAACTTTTATATAAAATAAAGTTTTATACCGAACCACGTTTTTACATAATATAATCAAATAAAGTATGTATTTGAAAAAATCTACTTTAATCGACGCTTAAGCTTTTAAAGCTATTAAAACTTACATTCTAAAATAATACATTTTGTTTTAATCGGTAGAATATCGTATCAGTTTAACTATAACTAATAGTTTATAACAAGTAAAATTGCTTTTTACAATTATTTCGTATAAAAAAAACTATTAATACATTTTTTTGTCTATTTTCTCTTAAAAACTCAGATCAAACATATGATGGCTTTCATCGAACAAGAGGCCAATGAAAAGGCTGAAGAAATCGATGCTAAAGCCGAAGAAGAATTCAACATTGAGAAGGGACGTTTGGTACAACAACAACGTCTCAAGATCATGGAATACTACGAAAAGAAAGAGAAACAAGTTGAATTACAAAAGAAAATTCAATCGTCGAACATGCTCAATCAAGCTCGTTTGAAGGTATGATTTAATACTTAAACATAAACAATGAAAAAAATTGTAATGCCTCTCATTTATTTTCCTTCTTAAAGGTCCTTAAAATTCGTGAAGATCATGTTGCCAGTGTTTTGGAAGATGCCCGTCGTCGCTTGGGTGAGGTCACCAAAAATCCCGCAGAATACAAAGTTGTTTTGCAGAAATTGATCTTGCAAGCTTTGTACCAGACCATGGAACCCACTGTTATTTTACGCTGCCGTCAAGTTGATGTTGGTCTTGTCAATGAAGCCTTACCCGTCGCCATTGATTTGTATAGGCAACAACTTAATCAAGATGTTAATGTTACCATTGATACCGATAACTATTTGCCTGCCGATACATGTGGTGGTGTTGAGTTGATTGCTTTAAATGGTCGTGTTAAGGTGAGTTGGGAATGGAAAAGAAATGTGTTATAGTAAAAATTCTTTTAAATTAATTTAATATTTCAAGCAGGTCTATAGTGTAGATTATAGACAGTTATATAGTTTATAATACAGACGGATATACTGATCTACAGTTCAGATTAAAAACTATAAACTAGTCTATAATTGACACTATAGACTGATATGTAGTTCAGTACAGATTATAGACTGATCTGTAGCCCAGATTATAGAGAGAGATATGTTTTCCAGACTACAGACTAATCTATAGTTCAGATTATAGACTGATCTATAGTCCAGACTATAAACTATAGTTAGGTCTATAATCCAGATTATACTACAGACTGATCTATAATCCGACTATAGACTTTATTCCAGACTATAGTCTATCCGTAGTCCAGATTATACTGATGTCTAGTCCAAATAGACTGATCAATAGTCTTGACTGCAAATTGATCTATAGTTCAAGCTATAGACTGATCGTAAGTCCAGAATATAGATTGATTGAGGTTACAGACTGATCAATAGTCTATACCGTAAATTGATCTGTAAACCAGACTATAGACCGATCTATATTTCAGACTATAGATTGATTCATAGTCCTGACTATAGATTGATTTATAATCCAGACTATGGACTGATCTATAGTCTAGGCTATAGATACGTAGTGTAAAGTTTTTAATCGAAAATTTTCTCTATTTGTTATTTTTAACTTTTCTTTTAATACAAACATTTTCTTTTCAATTCGTCTTTTCTAGGTTCCCAACACTTTGGAATCCCGCTTGGAATTGATTTCACAGCAATTGGTGCCCGAAATACGTAATGCCCTCTTCGGTCGTAACGTCAATCGTAAATTTGCCGATTAAGTATCTTAATTTTTCATTTATTTTCTTTCTTCTACTTGTGTGCATAAATTTATTTAGCTTACAACAAAAAATAATCATTATAATAATAATTAGATAAAAAAGAAAATGCAAACAAAATAATTAATAATAACAACAACAGCAACAAATAACAAAGAAAAATGCAAAGAAAAAAGCAAAAGAAACCATTAACGAACTAATCAACTCCTCCTGATTCCCCATAAAACCAAATAATTATTAACATACTCTTGCAACAGTTTGCGTTTAAATATTAAGAGCATGTTCTGAAATAATCATAACTATTGTTTGGTTTACTTTTTTAAACTAATTTATTTTAGATATTTTGTGAATGTTTAAAATAGTTAAATGAACTCATTATACAAAAAGAAAAAGGAAAACACTGTTTAATTAAGTTTTGTTTTCTGCAAACACAAGATAATAGTTTAAACATAAAATATTATTAAAACAAAACAAGTTATACATATTTAAACATATTTACTTATACTATAAAACAAAAAAAAAAAAAGGATAAAACTACTAACTAAACTACCTACTATGTTAAAACATATAAAACAAAAATTAATCAATAATTAAACTACATTTAAACATTCCTGTACAAAAAAAGAAAACGAAAAAAGACAAAAAAATATCCTTTAAAATTTTATGTAAAATGTTAAAAACAACAAAGTATTTGTAGGGTAAAAGTGGTACTTTTTTCATTTACTCTTTTTTTTCACATTTTTAAATTTAAAATTTTGTTAAATATTTTTAAGTTTTGTTTTTCTTTCTAAAACCTTTAAAAGCTAAGCTGTGTTATGTTTTTGTTAAACTATGTGTAAAGCTTTATTTAAAAATAACAACAACAACAAAAAAAGAAGACAAACTGCCAAAAAAACTAGTTAAAATATCTTTTAAAAACAACAACAAATTCTATAATATTTTTCTCCTGATAGATTTCTTGTGTTATAACTTTAGGATACAGCATCCTTTATGTTTTATTTATGGAAATTTTTGTTTAAAATGTAATGGAAATTTCTCTATTTAAAATGTAGAGTTTCTTAAAGTAAACATGAAAAATCTATAAATTTCATTCTCTTAACCCAAAAGAAAAACATCTAACTAATGTGTGTGTGTGTGGGTTTAAAACTTCTTCTCTTTCTAAAGCATGCTTTTAAAACTCCCTAAATTGTTGTCTAATTAAAGTAAAACTTTGTCGTTTAGTGTACAACTCACTAAATTTCTTTTTTTTTTTTTGGTAATTTTGTTTTTAATCAACAGTTTTTTTAAATAAATTATCTAAATGTTTAATAGTAAAAAATTAAAAAAAAAAACGTTGGAAATTAAAATTCTATAACATCTTGTAAAATCTGAGAAAATCATTATATAAAAATAGGCTTTAATAACACAGCTTTTTTGTTTCTCTTTATTAAATTCTATTATATTTTAATTTATTTTCCTAAACTAATGAAAAAAGTGCTTCTTTAATGTTTTCCTTTTTTTCAAAAATAAAAATTTTGTTAAATTTTTTTTTGCCTAAAGATTTGTTTTTTAATTGTTATTTTAATTTAACTGTTGCTGCTGTTTTTTTTTCGTTAAAGTAAATGAATTAATAAAAATCTTTAATATAATACTACTACTGTATACATTTTTATTATTTTATTAAACCCTCCTTTTAATTGTTTATTATCTACTTTTTTTTTTTGTTTTGTTCTCTTGTTTAAGTATTAATAAAAAAAATTTACCCACAAACAAAATATATACTTTCTTGCTTTTGGCGTTATATTCAAACCCCCTTAAAAAACAATAATTATACATAATAAATAAATATAAATTACCAAAAAACAAAAAAACGCTGAAATGTCTAACTGCCCCTGGCTTTTTTTGCTTCATTCTGATAATTTCCTTTATACAACCGATATTAATACAATTTAAATTTCTTTTTTTCTCATCAGCGTAGGCATTATTGAATTCTTCTCTAGGCTTCTGCATTTCTTGAACATGATTTCCTTTTGCTCCCGTTTTTATGGGGGTTAAAGTTAAACATGCTTCTTATATGGCGCCGTTTTAAATGTCTCCCCCCAGAGAATTGGTTTTGTCAAAAATGTATATTATATGTGAGACATCATTTGAGACTACCCTATAATACGATAACCTGGACAATATGTGTAAACAATTATTTTGTTTTTCGTTTAATAAGTTTTTTTTTATGTAATGTAATGAAATAAACAGAGTTAATAATATATTTGAATATTTACTTTAAATTTCAATGCTGTACTAAAGATCAGGGGTTCCCAAAGTATTAAACATCACGGATTGTGTGCATTTATAGCGAAAAGAAAACATTTTATCGGTTTAACCGATATATCATGGGCTTAACTACCAGTGTTGGCAATTTGACGTTTTTCCCGTCAAATCTGACAACGAGAAAATTCGTTTTAATGATTAGCGGAAAATTATTTTAAATACATTCAATGTTCACATATAAATAGAGAACTTATAATATTTTCCGAAAAATTTGCGATATTTTAAGCTTATAGACCTATGAGTATATTCTATAATCTAGTCTATAGTCTAGTATATAGTCTAGTCTATAATCTAGTATATAGTCTAGTCTATAGACTAACCTATAGTCCAGTTTATAGTCTCGTCTAGAGTCAATTCTATAGTATAGTCTTGTTTATAGTCTAGTCAAGAGTTGATTCTATAGTATAGTCTAATTTATAGTCTTGTCAATAGTCTAGTCTATATTCTAGTACATAGTCTAATCTATAGTTTAGTCTAGAGTCAATTCTATATTATAGTCTACAGTCTAGTATATGGTCTAGTCTATAGTCTAGTCAAGGCACACTTTGAAAGGTGACTGCATCACTACAACAATACAAAAACAACATGTATTTTGTTTTTGTACTAGAATCAGACTAATGTCAAAAATGACATAGGAAATGTAAACAAATAACATTATTAACATGTAAACAATAACAACTTTTGACATTAAGCATACTTTACACAAAAATAAAAAAATAATCAGCTGCTTTATCGCAGTCACTTTACTTTATTATGCCATGAGTCTAGTCTAATGTCTAGTTTATAATCTAGTTAAGAGTTAATTTTATAGTCTTGGTCTAGTCTATAATCTAGTATATAGTATAGTTTATAGTCCATTCTAGTCTTGAGTCAATTCTATAGTATAGTCTTTAGTCTAGTTAAAGTCTAATCTATAGTTTAGTATATAGTCTAGTCCATAGTCTAATTTAAATTCTAGTCTAGAATCAATTCTATAGTATAGTCTAGAGTGTATTCTATAGTCTAGTCTATGCTTTAAACTATTTACATATTAAAATTTTTACTAGATTATATACTAATCTATTGACTAGTTTAAGAATTAGTCTATTGACAATTTTATGGAATCGTCTAGACTATGGACTAGAATCTGAACTATACTATAGACTAGTCTAATGACTATTCAATTGACAAGTCTTACTTTTCTATGCCTTAACATATTGGCTATGCACTATTCTATGACAATAGTCTTGCCTATTGAGTAGTCTATGGACTACTAACTAGCCTTTAAACTATATTATGGACAAGTACACTTGACTATTGAATTTACTAGTCTCTGAGCTATGCAATAGACTAGTCTAATGACTATTCAATTGACTAGTCTAATGACTATTCAATTGACTAGTCTTATTTTTATACTATATGCACTAGTCTTGACAATTGAGTAATCTATGCACTATTAACTAGCCTTTTAACTATATTATGAACTAGTACACTTGACTATTCAATTTACTAGTCTCTGAGCTATGGTATAGACTATTCTATGAGTTTATTAACTTATATATGGAGTAGGCTATTGACTATAATATGTATAAGTCTATGGACTACTCTCATGACTATGCAATTGACTACTCTTTGGGCTAATTATATTTAATTTTCTATGCACTAGTCTGTTGGCTAGTCAGTAGACTACAATCTGTACCAGGGACTAGTATACATATAGTAACAAGTATCTTAACTATACTATGGACTAGTTTATTGCCTAGTTTTATAACAAGTCTATGGACTTTAACAATTCAACTCATTTATAAACTAGTCTATTGACTAATCTATTGATCAGTTTATCGTCACCTAAAACATTTTTTTAAAATTTTATAGGAGAAGCAAAAAACTATTTAAATTGAAAAGTTTGTTTCTATCAACGCGATTTATTTGTAGTAAATAAACAAATTCTTTAATAGTAAAACCTATCAGTTGTTGTGATAGATGACAATGGCGTATATAAAAATGGATAAATTGAACTTTTTATCTTTAATATTTAAATGTTTTTTAAAATCGCTAATTTTGGTCGGAGAAGTACAATTTTTTTGTATGGACATTTGTTTTGATGCAATACATTAGAATCATACATGGGAATTTTTCATTAAGCATTAAAATTTCATTACCATTTATAGAAAAAATTGTAATGAAAAATATTTTAAGTACCATTTAATGAAAATTATATTTTTTTCATTATAACTTTTTTTGATAATGGTAATGAATTTGATAATGAATTTTCAAAAACGAATTTAATTAGTATTTATAATTGTTGAAAAATATATTAAGGAAAATTTTTCGAAGATTCGAGATTTGAAAGCTTTTAAAACCAGTTCCCGTAGCCCAAATTGGCTGAAATTTTGCAGTCATAAGTACATCTGATGACAATACAATAATATGTTCGAATATTCGAAATTAAGTTCGAAAATTCGAAGTTATTTTCGAAAATTTTTTTATGTTTTTAAATTAATCTCTGTGTCATAAAACCTAAAAAAAATTTTTCGAAAATTCGAACTCGTGTTCGAAAAATTTTTAAAGCTGTTAAAACTAGTTCTTCTAGTCCGAATGTGCTGAAATTTGGCATACATGATTTCACCTAATGACAATACATTATAATGTTCGGATATTCGAAATTAACTTCGAAATTCGAACTAATGTTCGAAATTTTTTAAAATCCATTGAATAATGGTAATGAAAATTTATTTTTAAATAATTACTAATGAAATCGTTTCATTAAAAACCATTACCATTAGACAAAATAATGCTAATGAAAAAAAAATAATTATAATTTTTTTCAATTTAATGCTAATGAAATCGTCAATTAATTAGTCGATATAATTAACTACTCCCATGTATGATTAGAATCAACAATTTGGTTAGCCGGAGCTTGAAAGAATATTTCGTACAGTTGCTATTAAAAAGTAGTTTTTGCAGATATTTACATTAATTAGTCTTCCGAGTTAGATGTCTTGACTATAACTTTTCATACAATAATGGCAAATGTTTGAGCGATTTTGTTCTACACTTTCCAAGTTTACGGCCAGCATGGCTTTAAAGTGGTGGATGAAATGCCTGACTCCATCTGATCCCACTCTACAAATTACAATTATCACTCAGATTATACACGATCAATAAAAGTTTAGTGTTAGCACAACCAAAAAAAATCGTTAAATTTTAGTTAATCATCCCTATTCTGCATTTCAATTACGTTTACGGATTCAGTTACGCAACAATCGAAAAAAGGTATTCCAACAAAAAACAATTCCATTTCGTTTCAATGCTTTACGAACGTCTGTATTCTGCGTTACGATCGTACCTACGTTTTTTTAAGTTGTGGCGGAGAGTCGAATCGAAATGCAGAATACCAAAGTTGCCAAACGGAGAAAATTTCGATTCGAATTGAAATGCAGAATAGGGACCAATAGGTTTAGCATTTTGTGCAGTGACAAATATTTAACGCTATTTAAATTATAAATAATACTTTTACTAATTTGCAAGTGAAAGTGATTTTGTTATGGAACGACGAGGGCATGACTTTTGTTAACAATATTGTATAGTTAAAGAAAGTGATATATTTTTTAATGTTTGTTAAATAATAATGTTTTAGACTCTGGCCCCATATTCGTTTATGCTTTTTAAAGTTGTTGAATTAAAGGAATTTTGTATGGAAAATGTTTCTAATAAACCCAAAATAAACGATTAATATCTTTTTGAAAGCGGCGGTTAAATTTACGATGAGAGGGGTCATATTAACAACAAAAATTAAATAATTTATTCTTTTATAATTTAAAAGAAACTCATGCGTTCACGAAAAGCAAAGAAAACTATGTGGGAGGGTGATAGATGGCAAATGCACTTTTAGATATGAGTTTTTTATAAAAATTTCAAATTGAATACACTAATTGATGTGATCTATTTTTAATTTTCTAAAATTATTCTAGAACATAAGACGAACATTTTTATATTTTATGAAAGAAATAAAACGGTAGACATTCTTTTATATGAATGATCTTTCGAAATGAAAAAAAAAACTGAGGCCGAATTGCGTTAGATGTTGCCATTCGATAACAAACAATAAATATAGTAAATTTTTGCTTAATTTTGATGATATCGTAATGTGTGTTTCGAAACGAATGCTTTTTCTATCATGTATTATAAAATATTTACCCCACATTTCGCCGAAAACGAAATTTTATACATTTACACCGAAAATTTTAGTTTTTTTTTGTCGCAAATGTTTGAATACTTCTGAACTGGAACTAGAAATAAACTAGAACTGAACTAAATCTTAACTAAAATTAAACTAGAACTGTGCTAAAACTGAACTAGAATTGTACTAGAACTGAACAAGAACTGAAATAGAATTGAAATAGAACTGAACAGGAACTAAACTAGAACTGAACATTCCCCGACAGCCGGTTCTACGTACCGGAATGACCCGAAATTTTTCGGCCAAGGGCTGCCAACTCCAGCAACAATTACAACAACAAGAACTGAACTAGAGCTGAATTAGAACGGAACTAGAACTGAAATAGAACTGAACTAGAACTAAACTAGAATTGAACTAGAACTGAATTAGAACTGAACTAGAACTAAACTTCAGTTCTAGTTTAGTTAGAACTGAACTAGAACTAAACTAGAATTGAACTAGAACTGGACTAGAACTGAATTAGAACTGAACTAGAACTAAACTAGAACTGAATTAAAACTGAACTAGAACTGAACTAGAACTAAACTAGAACTAAACTAGAACTGAACTAGAACTGAACTAGAACTGAACTAGAACTAAACTAGAACTGAACTAGAATTGAACTAGAACTGCACTAGAGCTGAATTAGAACGGAACTAGAACTGAACTAAACTAGAACTAAGCTAGAATTGAATTAGAACTGAACTAGAATTGTACTAGAACTGAACAAGAACTGAAATAGAATTGAAATAGAACTGAACTAGAGCTGAATTAGAACGGAACTGGAACTGAAATAGATCTGAACTAGAACTGAACTAAACTAGAATTGAACTAGAACTGAACAAGAACCGAACTAGAATTGAACTATAATTAAAGTAGAAGTGAACCAGAAATGAATTAGAACTGAACAAGAACTTAACTGGAACTGATTAAGAGGACTGAACTAAACTGAAACTAAACGTGAACTGAAAATGAACTTGAACTTAACTGGAACTAGAAATGAACTAGAACTAATGCAGAAATGAATTAGAAATGCTTTAGAACTGAACAATAACATAACTGGAAATGAAATGAACTAGAACTGAAATAGAAAAGTAGAATATTAACTAGCTAAAATTTTATTTATTTCTAAATAAATAAAACAAACATATTTAAGTTTTTTTTTGTTAAATGTTCATTTATTGTATTATTAAAAGAACTAATTAATCAAAATAATAAATGTTGGAGGAGGCAATTACAGAAACTGAATCTAGTTAAAATAAAACTGAACTTTATAAAATAAAATTTTATAATTTGTATAGTTTTCTGTGTTTACATTTAACTTAATACGTTTACAAAATAGATTATTTTAAAAATTCAGCAAATATTAAAATAATACACTATATGTATTTAGTACTTTTTTTCATTTTATTCTTAAGTTGTTGTTTCAAAAGTAGACATTGGAAAAAAGACGAGTCAGACGAGGAGATGAGGGTGTTGGGGGGGAAGCAAAGAAAGAAACAATAAAAAATATCTAATTTTACAGGAGACTCACATTTTAGTTAAATTTTGTATATATAAGAAGAGAAGTTTGTTATATTTGTGTTTTATTTTTTAATTTATTTATTTTTATTTTTTTTTTTTTTTTTGTTGTTGATTTTTATGTGTAAATATACATGTATATAATTTATATTCAAATAATCATTCTTAATCAAATACAATTACATATAATGAGTGAGAATGAATTAATATGATGAATGCGCACACAATACAATTTGTTTTTTCTCTTGTTTTTATTATTATTTCATTTAGAGAGAATTTAATTATTCTTACACTTTACTGTTTTGCTTTTTTTTTTTTATTATAATATTTAATATTGCAATAAAATATGTTGTTGTTTGTTGTTGTTTTATATTTTGTCAATTTTATTTATTACTGCTGTCAAAATTTTGTATTAAATTTAAGTTTTCATCATTTGTTTAGTTGTGTTTTTTTACAATACATGTTTTGTTTGTCTACAATTGGGTGACAAAAGACTTGCTGGTAGTTTTTGTTTTATATAATTTAAGTTTTTTTTTAATATAAAATGTTTTGAGAGATTATTTATGTTTTATTTTAGTTGTTGTTGTTGTTGATATTAGCTGGTGGTTGTGGTGGTAGAAGTTTGTTTGAAAGATGATTTTACAAAATTGTAGAGTTGTATGTTCTTAATTTAGTTTAATATTCATGCTATAGACAAAATATCGCTGTCAATGTTTAGAACTTTATCAACAATATCTTGTTATTCTCCATTCTTTTGTTCATCCTCAGATTCAGATTCTAAAATGAGAAAGAGAGAGAGAGAGGAATTAGTTTAAAGGTTTTTTATAAAAATTTTGCAAATTAAAGAAATAGAAAAAATAGAAATCGGTTTGTAGAGGCAATTATTGGCCAAAAATATCTATGTTTTTTAAAGATAAATGGACACCCAATCACCTCATATTAATCTGGCACCGTTTTTTTTTAATTTTTAATAAACTTATTGATAGTAAACAACAACAAATTTACTTCACCAGGTGCGTAAAATGAAACCAAAGAACTTTTTAGTTAGAATTCAAAACGTTTTAGTAACAAATTACTCTTGAAAGTCTTCTCCCTAAGATCTGTTTTTACGAACAAAATCAACTGATATGAATGAATAGTTCTTGGAATATTCACGAAAGCACATTTTTGCTCGTAATTTATTCGCCATAATGTTGACTGACTTATTTATTCTAAAGCAAAAAACCAAAAATAATGCTATTTTAAAATGGAATACTGTAACAGAGGAATAATTCTTAATCTTTGTACGTAATAATGTACCAGAGATTATTGGCCAAAAATATTCATTGGATCAAGAATAACTGGACACCCAATCCCTAGCCTAGCACTGTTAATCTGGCCACATGATAACCTGAATCAAGTTGTAGTAGTTTCAATCAACAAATTCATTCTCAAGCAGTGGCCTTTCATTTACTTTTTAACATAGAAAAGAAAAACTTTCCCATTCACATAATTATAATTCTTTACAAAGTATATTTGTTATAGTTTTCATTGGCCTATAGAATCTATAATTAATTTAGCAGACAATTAGGCAAGCAAAAAACTATTTGTTTATCTAGCAAACTTGTACAATCAAAATGTTGTGGTTATATGCAACAAATTCATTCTCAAAGTTTGCCCTTTATTCTTTAAAGTAAAACTTTAAATACTTTAATTATGTGTACCAGCAATGTTAGAGATAAATCTTAAAATGTGCCCCAAATTTCAAATCATATTCTGCAATTGAATAAATAATAAAAAAAACTATAATTTTGTTTGTCATAGTTTTCATTGGCCTATAGAATCTATAATTTATTTAGCAGACAATTAGGCAAGCAAAAAACTATTTGTTAATCTAGCAAACTTGTACAATCAAAATGTTGTGGTTATATGCAACAAATTCATTCTCAAAGTTTGCTGCTGCTTTACTTTTCAACAAAAAAACCTTTAAGTATTTTAGATAATTTGTACCAGCAATTATTGGCCAAAAATATCTATGTAATTAAGATAAATGGACACCCAATCACCGACCTATCAGTGTTAATCTAGCAACAATGTTAACCTGATAAAATGTTAGAAATTAAACAAATCTCGTTCTCAATCAGTTGCCCCCTAAATATATACCAAACAATAAAGTAAGTAGTTTAATAAATAATTTTGTATCAGCGACTACCGGCCTAGTGTTACTATAATTAAAGTAGCTAGGACAATATAATCAATGAGCCATTTAATCTAGCAAACTTGAACAATATAAATGTTGTTAAACATTTTACCAGTTTTTCTCCCCAAAGTTTGCATAAACGTAAATAATCTAATTTCGTTTTAGTTCAGTTCTAACTCAGCTGTAGATCAGTACTAGTTGAATTCAAGTTCAGTTTTAGTTCAGTTCTGATTGAGTTCTAGTTCAGTTCTAGTTAAGTTCTGGTTTAGTTCTAGTTCAATTATAATTCAGTTCAGTTCTAGTTAAAAATAAACCTTTAAACCTTAAAAGTTTCTCGGTTTTGAAACCGAACCGATTTACAGAACTGACATGATAAATAATCTAGATTCCTTTTAGTTTATCTCTAGTTAAGTTCTAGTTCAGTTCCTAGTTCATTTCTAGTTCATTTCCAGTTCAGTTCTAGTTCATTTCTAGTTCAGTTTTAGTTCAGTTCTAGTTCAGTTCCTAGTTCATTTCCAGTTCAGTTCTAGTTCATTTCTAGTTCAGTTCTAGTTGAGTTCTAGTTCAGTTCTAGTTCAATTCTAGTACAGTTCTTAGTTCAGTTCTAGTTCAGTTCTAGTTTAGTTCTAGTTCATTTCTAGTTCAGTTCTAGTTCAATTCTAGTACAGTTCTAGTTCAGTTCTAGTTCATTTCTAGTTCAGTTCTAGTTCAGTTCTAGTTCAGTTCTAGTTCAGTTCTAGTTCAGTTCTAGTTCAGTTCTAGTTCAGTTCTAGTTCAGTTCTAGTTCAGTTCTAGTTCAGTTCTAGTTCATTTCTAGTTCAGTTCTAGTTCAGTTCTAGTTCAGTTTTAGGTCAGTTCTAGTTCAGTTCTAGTTCAGTTCTAGATCAGTTCTAGTTCAGTTCTAGTTCAGTTCTAGTTCAGTTCTAGTTCAGTTCTAGTTCAGTTCTAGTTCAGTTCTAGTTCAGTTCTAGTTCAGTTCTAGTTCAGTTCTAGTTCTAGTTCATTTCTAGTTCAGTTCTAGTTCATTTCTAGTTCATTTCTGGTTCAGTTCTAGTTCAGTTCTAGGTAAGTTCTAGTTCAGTTCTAGTTCACTTCTATTTCAGTTCCATTTCAGTTCTCTTTCAGTTCTATTGCAGTTCTAGTTCAGTTCTATTTCAGTTTTAATGCAGTTCTAGTTCAGTTCTATTGCACTTGTTGTTCAGTTTTAGATCAAAATAAACCTTTAAATATTTTAGTTTTATTGTACCAGCAATTATTGGCCAAAAATATCTATGTAATTAAGATAAATGGACACCCAATCACCGACCTAGCAATGTTAATCTAGCAACAATGTTAACCTGATAAAATGTTGGAAATTAAACAAATCTCGTTCTCAATCAGTTGCCCCCTAAATATATACCAAACAATAAAGTAAGTAGTTTAATAAGTTTGTATCAAAGATTATTAGACTAGTACTACTATAATTAAAGTAGCTAGGACACCCAATCAATGAGCCATTTTATCTAGCAAACCTTTACAATATATTGTTTAACATATTGCCAATGTTAAACATTAGACCAGTTTATGCGAAAGGTTTGCATAAATTTAAATCTAATTTCTAGTTCAGTCCAAGTTCAGTTCTAGTTTGATTCTAATTCAGTTATATTTTGGTTCTAGTTCATTTCTAGTTCAGTTTTAAATCAAAATTAACCTTTAAATATTTTAGTTTTATTGTACCAGCAATTATTGGCCAAAAATATCTATGTAATTAAGATAAATGGACACCCAATCACTGGCCTAGCTCGGTTTATCTGGCAACATGGTAACCTGAATAATGTTGTGGTTTAATCAACAAATTCGTTCTCATAGCAGTTGCCGTTATGATTCTATAATTTAAGGACTCAATTCTTCTAAATATAAAAAAACTAAGAAACGAAAATCGAAAAATCGAAAATCTTAAACTAATTTCAGATTTAGTACAAATGTTCGAAATCTAATTCGTAATTAAGATTGGTAGAGTTTTAAAGCTGTTAAAACAAATTTTAGAACAGTTAACAGAAAATTCAGAATGTAATCGAAAATTCGGAAAATTTTAAAATTCTATATAAATTTTGAAAAAAAAAAAAAAAAAAAAAAAAAAAAAAATTAAACATTTTCATGTTATTTTGAAGTTATGTTGAAGAAAAAAAAAAAAAAACATTTTCAAGCTATTTTCGAAAATTCGAACTTATGTTCGAAAAAATTTTAAAACTGCTAAAATGATCTCTAAATCATGAGGATTCATAAAAATATAACCTTAGTTTAATTTAAGTCCGATTTCTTGGATTTTTTCCATTTTCGAACTTCAAAATTTTGAAGAAAGTTCAAAATTTTCATGTTTTAATTAAGTATTTTCAATGTAGTTTCAGAAAAATTCATTTTCAAGCTATGTTCGAAAATTCGAACTTATGTTCGAAAAAATTTTAAAACTGCTAAAATGATCTCTAAATCATGAGGATTCATAAAAATATAACCTTAGTTTAATTTAAGTCCGATTTCTTGGATTTTTTCCATTTTCGAACTTCAAAATTTTGAAGAAAATTCAAAATTTTCATGTTTTTATTAAGTATTTTCAATGTAGTTTCAGAAAAATTCATTTTCAAGCTATGTTCGAAAATTCGAACTTATGTTCGAAAAATTTTTAGAACTGCTAAATTGATCTCTAAATCACGAGGATTCATAAAAATATAATTTTAGTTTATTAGGAGAACAATTTCTTAGATTTTTCTATTTTCGAACTTCAAAATTTTTAAGAAAATTCAAATTTTTCATGTTTTTTTAAGTATTTTCAATGTAGTTTCAGAAAAATTCATTTTGAAGCTATGTTCGAAAATTCGAACTTATGTTCGAAAAAATTTTAAAACTGCTAAATTGATCTCTAAATCATGAGGATTCATAAAAATATAATTTTAGTTTATTAGGAGAACAATTTCTTAGATTTTTCTATTTTTGAACTTAAAAATTTTGAAAATTTCGAAATTCTTTCAAAGCTTTTCATTAAAAAATGGTTTTAAGCTAAAGTTAAAGATTCTTAAAGGGTTTTCAAACTAAAAGTCGAAATTATGTCTTAAAATCAATATCAAAAGATTTTAATAAAAGTATTAAATGTTTCATACAAAGAAATCTAGAAATTTCATATAAAAGACTGCAACTTTTTTGCAAATCGGAAAAAACTAGACAAGTAATGTATGATTTTAATATAGCAGCCTTTCGACACTAGTTAAGCCTTGGCATTAAACAGCAAAATTAGTTCTAATAAGGTGCAAAACAATAAACAAATAAAATTAAAATTAATTTAATAAAAAATACACATTTAATACCCAAAAGTTTCATTACTTTCTAAGTAATTTTATAAAGTTTAATCCTCTAATAGGTTTTCCTTAAATTTTTCATGATTTGACTCAATATCTTACAACAATATTGCTGTATTTAATAAATTTAAGAATGAATTACCAAATTTGTTTTTAAACAAAAGTTCTTTTTGTTTCATTCCTTTATATTACAACAAGAAAATATATAAGAAAAACTCTGCTTACCTTCTTCGGCATTTTGTAGCCATTCAACAAATTTCTTCATTTGTTCTAGGAAATGCATTTTACCCTTGCTAGAATGGGCATCTTTGTACCAACGCAAGATAACCACTTCCGATAAAATTTCAGCTAAAAAGAGAAAAGAAAATAAAACCAAAACAAAATTAATAAATAATTATTTTTTTAAACAATTAACACTTAAATAATTTATAAACAATGTCTTTAACTTACTTTTGTAAAACAATAAGATGATCTTTTGGAAAGCTTTCATAAAGTTCATATTCTCATAACAGAATTCTTGAACTTTTAAAATCAATGCCAATTCAGCACGATCCGAACTGGTGAAGGCCTGGAATAGAGGGCAATAGTTTTTCAAATGGCGTACAGCTTGATCGGTAACCAATTCCTCTTTTTTATTCCATTCACCGAGTGACATAATCGTTGACCATATAATGACGATAATTTCATTTTCAGGAATGTTGGCTTTAGCGGCAAATTCTTTAATGTCTGCATTGATTTCTGAGTGAGGTTTCTCATCGTTAATATCATCAATAAGAGTTTGTTGCAGTTCACGTTTCGCCTCTTGACTGGCTTGGGCTTTATGCAATTTAATAATTTCTGTAAGTTCCTTTTCAAGAAAAACTTGTTTAAAATTCTCTTCAGTACGTTTGTTTGGTGGGAAAAAGTCCATAAGTCTGAAGAGAGAGAGAGAGAGAGAGAGAAAATAGAGAAACAATGATTAAAATACTTCAAAAAAGGTACATTTCAGGAAATTTAAAAAAAATAGTACTAAAAGTACTTTTTTGGGAAATTTTTAAAATTTTACCAAATTTCAAAAAAGTACTTGTACTTTTTAGGATTCACTATGAATTTTTATGTAAATTCCAAATAATAAGAACTTTTGCTTTGAACTGAAAAAGTACTTTTTATTTGGTAGCAGTTTATTTAAGAAAAAGTACTTTTTCTAAAAAAATTTTAAATTGTACCAAATTTCAAGAAGCTAACCAGTATCTAGCTTTTTAAGATTCCAAATGAATTTTTAAGTATTTTTTAAAAAATTTTCAAAAAAAGTACTTTTTTATAAATTTGTCAGTTTTCAAATTGTTACACAAACATTCGTAATGAAACATTTGCTAATTAAAACAAAAAACTTATTTAATCTAGGAAAATTAATTAAAGAAATTGGTTTGATTACATTTAAAATGTTTACAACAAATTTCTTCCTGAAACTTTCCATAAATAAAAACAAAAATAATTAAAAGTTATTCAACTTACTTGCTTTCTAAACCACCCTTTTTAAGTGTTTGTATTAGGGAAGCAATACCCTTCTCTTGTTTAAAGGTGACAAATAGTTCAACCAAAAAATCAAGAGCAATACCATCCTTAATTAAATGTTCATTATTGAGTACCAATAAAACAGTGGGTGGCACAGAACCATTAACTGCAAAGTAAACGAAAAAAAAAAAAATGAAATAAAAATTTATGTTATTAATTTATTAATAAATATTTGTTTAAGAGTTTAATAACAAAAAAAAAGTGTCATAGTCTTGGTGTCCTAGTCTAGCGTTATAATGGAAAAATTTGTAATTGGGTTTGTGTCTTTTGCCTCTGGTATATAAGGTAAAAGTCAGTACACCAAAAATAGTTTAATATGCCACTCATATATTAACTCTTATCTGTGGGAAAAACAAAGATAAAAATCAAATTTGGTTAAAGTGGCGTGTTGCTATATTGCGCACAAAACTATGTGCAAAGCATATTTTTATTATAGTTTTAATTTTTATATAAAAAATAAGGTCCATCTTTTTAAATTGTGCATAATTTTGAGATTACTAAAGCGAAATTTGATTCAAAAGTAAAACCTTTCTATAGACATGATAAAATATTCCAGATTGTAATCAAAATAATAGTCCAGACTGTGTAGGATCAGATAATTGTCCAGACAATAGTTCAGACTATAAGCAAGACAATAGTCCAGCATATATTCAAGACAATAGTCCAGACTATAATCAAGACAATGCACCAGACTATACTCATGACAATAGAACAGACTATGGTCAAGATAATAGTATAGACTATAGTCAAGACTACAGTCCAGGCTATAGACAAGCCAACAGTCCAGACTAATGTCAACACAATTGTCTAGTCTATAGTCAAGACAATAGTCCAGATTATAGTCAAGGCAATATTCCAGACTACAGTCCACATTATAATCAAGACTAAACCCAATATCATTATGCTGAGTATAGTGGAGATACTAGACAACTTTTCAACACTGTAGCCCTGGCAATAGTCCAGATTATAGTCATTATTAAAGCCCAGACTAGAATAGACTTTAAATAGTTTTGTAAGAAGTTAAATAATAACACAAACATTTAGAAGCAAACATTTGCAAATTAAATTCAAAATCTTTGAAAAAACGTTTAATATGGGAAAATTAATTAAAGAAATTGACTTGAAAAATTAATGACAAATTTCTTCCTGAAACTTTCCGGAAACGAAATGAAATTAAAAGCAAATGAAATAGTCACTTAAGGCCATATTCACAATCAAATTATAATTTTATCAAAGGTTTATAAATCAAATCTTGAAATACAAATTTGATTATGAATATGGTGATAAATGTGTAGTCCGGTTAAGTTAATTGTAAAAAAATAAAACTAGTCTCTCTAGAGTTAAAAAAAAAACCTACCTAACCACAGCGCTGTCATACGCGCTAGTTTAATGCGTTCGCTTGGAGTAAAACCTTTAATGAAGACTAATACTTTCTTCATTTCCTCCTCGAACATCTTCTCCAAGTACTTATATCGACGCATGAGCTTGATGAATACCTAAAAAAAATTAAAACAAAATATAAAAATTTAAAAATTTGCGCATAAAATTCAAATAAATTAGTCTAAGTTTTTTGTTTTGTTCCATAAAAAGAAATCTAATAATTTCATTTGTAAAAGAAACTATCAGACAAGTAAATTTATGATTTTAATTTAGCAACCATTCGACACTATTTAAGCTTTGGTTAAGAAATACAGCAAAATTAGTTCTAATTAGGTGCATCATGTTGGGAAGACAACAAACAAACAAGTTTATAAAAATTCCATTTCAATTGATTTTTGCTCTTTTGATCAATAAATAAAAATTAAGAAAATGTATACTACAAGATTATAGAACAAAAAAAGCAATAATTTCTAATTTTTTCTCTATGACGTCTTGTCTATACATATGTACATCTATATGCTAGTCTTTTAACAAGACAAACTGGTTGTGTGTTATCAGAAACAAGTTAATAAACTAATAAATAAAAATTGTTGTTTATTTTATTATTGCATGAGAACATAAAACATAAATTACACTTGAGTATTCAAGAGCAACAAGGTTATTGAAATGACATTATAAACATTGTTGTGTTTAACTAGCAACTATTTTATTTGAGTTAGGAAATAAATAATAAAAGGAAAATTACCTGCTCATGGTTACGCATTGCTTCCATATCTTCGGGGGCTTCGAATATACAATAATTTGTGCGTGGCTTCTCGCCATCCTGAGAGATTGAACCACCAGGAACTAAAATTTTATAAAAAATAGAAAAATTATTATTAAATATTGAAATAATTGGTTATTTAAATTTAGTTTAATTTCAGTTAAAGTTAAACTAAATTTGCTTTTTAAGTTAATTTTTATATTTTTTATTAAACTTTAAGCTATTAAATTTGTTTATAATTTTCGTCAAACTTACCTAAGAGACCACCAGCAATTAATATGTCAAATAGTACTTCGCCGTAACGGCGATAATCAAGTTTATTACCAGCGATATCTAAATATTTAGAGATTTGTTCTAAGTCACCTTCAGTTTTTTCGAGACCAGCAATGACCGCATCACGGAATCCCGTTGGGTCATATTTTTCTCTTTCATCTCTTTTTCTGGTCTTGATGCGCTGACCTGATAGTACTGGTCTTTCAGTTTTTTGACTCATACAATAAATTGCTAAAAGAAAGAAAGAAAATAAACGACGAACAAGAATCAACATTAGTAAACTGTTTAGAAAAAATATATGTATATTAAAGTAAATAAAGTTAATAATAATTTGTTAGATTAACTGGATCTATTGATATCTTTTGATGGAAGACATTTGCAGACCAGCATAATCAAAGATTTTTCTGGCATTCACATATTACTCGCAAACCTGTGGTTAAATTTTGAAGTTTACGAGGCAAGTAAAAATGCCAAAGCTTAGACAGTTACAACAATTATAGTAGAGACAATAGATTATACTTTAGTCCAGATTATAGTTTAATCTATAATACCGGCTTTAGTGCTGGCTATAGTGCATACTTTAGTCTTTATTTCAGAGTTTAGTATTAGTTATAATATTGACATTAGTCTAATCTATACTCCAGACATTAGTGCAGTTTATAGTCCCGACTTTAGAACAGTATTAAACCTATATTACAGGCTTTACTTATTCGAAACTTAAATTTACATATTAATTCTGCTTATTGTTTATAGTTCACACTATAGATCACTCTATAGTCTATATTCAAGCCTATAGTCTAGTCTTTAGTTTAGACATTTTATACACCCATATTGCCAATCAAAATTGTATGAAATATGTTCCCTATTCCTATTTTACGTTCGCCAACTTTGTTGAAGGACAAAATTTCGCCTGCTGTGTAATTGTTTGTGTTGAATTTTGTAAACAATAAACAGCTGTTATAAGCGTAAGCAACTATTGTGAATGAAGAAGTTTAAGGGAATTTTACGATAGTAACAAATATATTTTATGGAAACAAAAATTGTACATTTTATTGCCGACAAGGGTGATTAGTTAGGCCTATAGTCCAGTTTATAGTCCAGATTTTAGTAGATTTTATACTCCAGAGTTTAGTCTAGTCTATATTTCTGACTTAACATTATATTACAAAAAGTAATGCAGACTTTAGTACAGTTTTCGTACTTTAGTCTGTATTCCATACATATTTCAAATATAAGACGATTCTACAATCGAATTTAAAGTACAGACGTTAGTCTGTAGTCTAAAACGGTAGTCCAAATTATAGAATAGACTATTGACAACAAACAAATGTATAAACACTATAGTAAAGCCTCAATTTACAGAATATCAATAAAAGTTTAGTTTTACCATACTTTAGTTCAAATTCTAGATCCTGTTCATTCATTTTCTATATTAAAAACCGGTTTCTATTAAACAACTTTTTAGTCTACCCTCGTTTCTTAACAAACTTTAGTATTCAATTTAATAAACTAAATAGGTATCAAAATTTATACATATACAAATCAGATGCAATTTTATATTAAACAATAACAAATGACTCATATCTATTTTCTAATACTTGTGGAAAAAAAGATTAGTACCACGTCTTTTTGTTAAAAGATATCAATTCCTCTTCTTTCTTAACATTAGCTACACTTCATTTGCTTTCAAACTAACCTCAAATTCAAAGAAAACCTATTAAGAAAACAAAAACAAAATTTGACAAATGGCCGCGCGACTCATTTGAACAAAAACAAAAAGGCCACTAATAATACAAATACACAATAATAAAAAAATACCTTAAAGAGAGGAAGAAAAAACACAAAGAAAAATTACAAAAAGAGACATTTAACGAGAGAAATTCCTTTGAAAGAAAAAAACATTCGAGAAAGAAATTGAAACGAGGTCAATGAAATCTTTCACTTTTTGCTAAATAAAAAGAAATAAACTAAAAAAAGCATTTAAGAAAAAAATTTTAAAATAAAAAAAGATTATTTAAAAGTACAAATAAATTCTCAGATATAAAAAAAGAAACTAATGTTTAAAAATTCTAGGTTAGGTTTTAAAAAAAGTCTTGTTTTAAACCGGGATTGTTTACTAATTTAGATTTTTAATAACAAATTAATAAAAAATAAGTATATTTAAAAATATAACTTTACTTACATAAAAACGATAAAACAAAGAAAAAGTTGTTGCACTTAAATAGGAAATATTACAAATTTCCTGGATTTTTAGTATTTGCTTAGTTTTTGTTAAAAAAAACTTCCTTAATTAAATAATTTATTTAACCTTGTGGTGTTTAGTTATAAATTAAATTTTACCCCTGTGCACACAGCTTTCTTTTTTCTATCTTATTTAAGTGACACGAATTCAACTGTTGATTTTCAAAATGCCAGCAGCGAGCGGTAAAATTCCCCACACGTATTTGTATATTATTAAAACAGGGTAAAAAATCTCTTTTTAGCGGGGTTTTACTTTAAACTTAAATTTTTTATCACAATATGTTACTTAAATTAAACTTAAATAAATAAACAATAAAAAAAATAATAACTTTCGGAAAAATGTGATTTTTAATTAACTTAAGAAAAATGTCGGTTTAAAAATTTAAACCACTTGATTTCACGAATTCCGATAACTAAATGAGAAAGCAATAATGAAATGACATGTGGTAGACGTCAAACGCACACACACACGTAACAGAGAAGAAAAAAAAAAACTTAACAGGAAATGAAGGCATAGCAACGCCATATTGACAGCGTTGCAACCAAAAGGTATTAAAAACAAAAAGCATAGAAAACAAAGGAGTATAATAAAGAAAAACGAGGAAAAAAAATCTCTTAAGTTTTTAGCTATAAAAATATATCTAGATTTTTCTTTTACATTTTATTTAATTTAATAATAGCTGCCAACATTAGTAAATCACCCTAAATTACACTAATTTAATTAGCATTTTTCTTTCCAAATTGTTATATATTACTCATTTTTCATGTATTTTTAACTAAAATTTTTCTTTAAATGGCGTTCCCTCAAGATTTGTGTGTGGGCAGCCATTTTTTCTTTGCTTACCATCATTATTTATACAATTTTAAATTTCTTCACAAATTTTATTTTAAATAAGCTACTTATAATAATTAGTTTTAATTTTATAATACTTACGATTAAAACAAAAAAAATTTAGCACTGCCGACAAAAATTTATATCGAAAATAACACTGACTTCTCTATGGAATAAACGCACTTTTGTGACACACAAAAATTATTGCTGAAACGGGAAATGACAATGTGAAACGAAAAAAAAAATGACAAAGGCAGCAGTGTTGTATTTTATTGTATGCAGTGTTGCCAGTATTTTTCCACCATTTCCCATTAAACCATGTCACCCCAAAAAAATCGCTAGAAAACTTCAAAATTAATCAATAGCTTGAAATTTTACAATTTACCAAATTAATGCAATTTTAATAAATTTTTTAAAAAATGTAGAGTTTTGAAACTAGACTTTAAATAAGACTATAGACTACAAACTAAAAAGTCGAAAAGTCGACTTTGTAAATAAAAGTCGGAAAGTCGAAAAAAATCGAAATGTCGAAAAAAGTCGAAAAGTCGAAAAAAGTCGATAAGTCGAAAAAAGTCGAAGAAAGTCGAAAAAAGTCGAAAAGTCGATAAGTCGAAAAAAGTCGAAGAAAGTCGAAAAAAGTCGAAAAAAGTCGAAAAGTCGGAAAAAGTCGAAAAGTCGGAAAAAGTCGAAAAGTCGAAAATAGTCGAAAATTTTAAAAAAGTGGAAAAGAGGTCAAAAACTTTAAAATAGTCGGAAAAACTCGAAAAAAGTAAAAAATAGTCGAAAAAAGTCGAAAAAAAGTCGAAATAAGTCGAAAATAGTCAAAAAGTCTTAAAAAATCGAAAAGTCGGAAAAAGTCGAAAAGTTGAAAAATGTCGGAAAAAGTCGAAAAAAGTCGAAAAAAGTCGAAAAGTCTAAAAAAGTCGGAAAAAGTCGAAAAGTCGAAAAAAGTCGGAAAAAGTCGAAAAGTCGGAAAAAGTCGAAAAGTCGACCATTTATAAAATACTAAAAGTCGAAAAGTCTAAAAGTCGACTTTTAAATAAATGAAAAAGGTCGAAAAGTCACGCACATAAAGAAAACAACCCGACGAAAAATAAAACAAACCGTAACAGCTGTTTTATCAAAATAAACATTTTTTTTGGTGTGGTGAGTTATTTTTGTTTACAAATATGTGTTTCTGCACGTGGAAAAGACGCAAAAACTCGTTTTCATTATTTACATTTTCAATATGTGTTTAAGCACGTGGAAAAAATTCAAAAAAATTGATTTTCATGATTTACATTAAAAAAAATATTTTTGATCAATTAAAATATGTGTATTAATGTGGAAAGGAACAAATCTGATAAAATATAAATATATTTGGGATTATATCGTTACAGAATGCCTTTTAATAAAAAACATTCAAAAAATGTTACTATGGTCATATATATAAAATGATATATAAGTGCTATCGGACGATCTTGTGCACGATAAAAACCTATATAGAACTTTAAGTTGGAAGTGTAGAAATCGGATGGCATACATTTTTTTCCGGATTTCATCGTTCTAGGGTGTGTACTACAACAACAAACTTTTTTTTTACAAAAAATGTAACTATGGCCGTATATATAAAATGATATATAACTGCTATCGGACGATCTTGTGCACGATAAAAACCTATATAGAACTTTAAGTTGGAAGTGTAGAAATCGGATGACATACATTTTTTTCCGGATTTCATCGTTCTAGGGTGTGTACTACAACAACAAACTTTTTTTTTACAAAAAATGTAACTATGGCCGTATATATAAAATGATATATAACTGCTATCGGACGATCTTGTGCACGATAAAAACCTATATAGAACTTTAAGTCAGAAGTGTAGAAATCGGATGACATACATTTTTTTCCGGATTTCATCGTTCTAGGGTGTGTACTACAACAACAAACTTTTTTTTTACAAAAAATGTTACTATAGCCGTATATATAAAATGATATATAACTGCTATCGGACGATCTTGTGCACGATAAAAACCTATATAGAACTTTAAGTTGGAAGTGTAGAAATCGGATGGCATACATTTTTTTTCCGGATTTCATCGTTCTAGGGTGTGTACTACAACAACAAACTTTTTTTTTACAAAAAATGTTACTATAGTCGTATATATAAAATGATATATAACTGCTATCGGACGATCTTGTGCACGATAAAAACCTATATAGAACTTTAAGTTGGAAGTGTAGAAATCGTATGGCATACATTTTTTTCCGGATTTCATCGTTCTAGGGTGTGTACTACAACAACAAACTTTTTTTTCCAAAAAATGTTATTATGGCCGTATATATAAAATGATATATAACTGCTATCGGACGATCTTGTGCACGATAAAAACCTATATAGAACTTTAAGTTGGAAGTGTGGAAATCGGATGGCATACATTTTTTTCCGGATTTCATCGTTCTAGGGTGTGTACTACAACAACAAACTTTTTTTTTACAAAAAATGTTACTATAGCCGTATATATAAATTGATATATAACTGCTATCGGACGATCTTGTGCACGATAAAAACCTATATAGAACTTTAAGTTGGAAGTGTAGAAACCGGATGGCATACATTTTTTTCCGGATTTCATCGTTCTAGGGTGTGTACTACAACAACAAACTTTTTTTTTACAAAAAATGTTACTATAGCCGTATATATAAAATGATATATAACTGCTATCGGACGATCTTGTGCACGATAAAAACCTATATAGAACTTTAAGTTGGAAGTGTAGAAACCGGATGGCATACATTTTTTTCCGGATTTCATCGTTCTAGGGTGTGTACTACAACAACAAACTTTTTTTTACAAAAAATGTTACTATAGCCGTATATATAAAATGATATATAACTGCTATCGGACGATCTTGTGCATGATAAAAACCTATATAGAACTTTAAGTTGGAAGTGTAGAAATCGGATGGTATACATTTTTTTCCGGATTTCATCGTTCTAGGGTGTGTACTACAACAACAAACTTTTTTTTTACAAAAAATGTTATTATGGAAGTATATATAAATTGATATATAACTGCTATCGGACGATCATGTGCACGATAAAAACCTATGTAGAACTTTAAGTTGGATGTGTAGAAAACAGATGGCATACATTTTTTTGTAGATTTCATCGTTCTAGGGTGTGTTCTACAACAAACTTTTTTTTACAAAAAATGATACTATGGCCGAATTTATAAAATGATATATAACGTCTATCGGACGATCTTGTGCACGATTAAAACCTATATAGAATTTTAAGTTGGAAGTGTAGAAATCGGATGGCATAAATTTTTTTCCGGATTTCATCGTTCTAGGGTGTGTACTACAACAACAAACTTTTTTTTCCAAAAAATGTTATTATGGCCGTATATATAAAATGATATATAACTGCTATCGGACGATCTTGTGCACGATAAAAACCTATATAGAACTTTAAGTTGGAAGTGTGGAAATCGGATGGCATACATTTTTTTCCGGATTTCATCGTTCTAGGGTGTGTACTACAACAACAAACTTTTTTTTTACAAAAAATGTTACTATAGCCGTATATATAAATTGATATATAACTGCTATCGGACGATCTTGTGCACGATAAAAACCTATATAGAACTTTAAGTTGGAAGTGTAGAAACCGGATGGCATACATTTTTTTCCGGATTTCATCGTTCTAGGGTGTGTACTACAACAACAAACTTTTTTTTTACAAAAAATGTTACTATAGCCGTATATATAAAATGATATATAACTGCTATCGGACGATCTTGTGCACGATAAAAACCTATATAGAACTTTAAGTTGGAAGTGTAGAAACCGGATGGCATACATTTTTTTCCGGATTTCATCGTTCTAGGGTGTGTACTACAACAACAAACTTTTTTTTACAAAAAATGTTACTATAGCCGTATATATAAAATGATATATAACTGCTATCGGACGATCTTGTGCATGATAAAAACCTATATAGAACTTTAAGTTGGAAGTGTAGAAATCGGATGGCATACATTTTTTTCCGGATTTCATCGTTCTAGGGTGTGTACTACAACAACAAACTTTTTTTTTACAAAAAATGTTATTATGGAAGTATATATAAATTGATATATAACTGCTATCGGACGATCATGTGCACGATAAAAACCTATGTAGAACTTTAAGTTGGATGTGTAGAAAACAGATGGCATACATTTTTTTGTAGATTTCACCGTTCTAGGGTGTGTTCTACAACAAACTTTTTTTTACAAAAAATGATACTATGGCCGAATTTATAAAATGATATATAACGTCTATCGGACGATCTTGTGCACGATTAAAACCTATATAGAATTTTAAGTTGGAAGTGTAGAAATCGGATGGCATAAATTTTTTTCCGGATTTCATCGTTCTAGGGGGTGTACTACAACAACAAACTTTTTTTTCACAAAAAATGTTACAATGGTAGTATATATAAAATTATATATAAGCTGGAAGTGTAGAAATCGAATGGCATAATTTGTTTACCGGATTTCATCGTTCTAGGGGTGTACTACAACAACAAACTTTTTTTCACAAAAAATGTTACTATGGTAGTATATAGAAAATTATATATAACGTCTATCGGACGATCTTGTGCACGATAAAAACATATATAGAACTTTAAGTTGGAAGTGTAGAAATCGGATGGCATAATCTGTTTGAGATTTTAGGTAGGGTCAACTGTGGACCGATAAGTGTTATAATGAGTGTTATTATGAGACCGTTAACAATAAGGCTGTGTTGGGTACCAGGACCCTGCAATATACACAAAAGAGGTATCTGGCGAACTGACACGATGAGGCTCGAATCTTGTCCCATATGAACGGAACAAGAAGTTAAAGCCACCCCTTTTTCATTTTTTTTGGTTGATCTCCGATGGATTCCGTGACTCTATCAACCAGTCATGGAATATAGAATGAATTGCACATTATATATGGCGTTTTTAAAAAGGTTTGATTCTAAAGAAACCGGAATTATTATTGGGGTAGATGGTGTACACCAAGAACACTTGCACTGGATATAAAACATTATAAAAATACATAAATTTTTCTTAGCACAAAATAAATATGTCCAGTAAATTGTTTTTGTTTCATTTGTTTACGTTTTTACAGAAACTCACCACATAACAATCAAAAACAGCTGTTAGGGTTTGCTGTTTTATCAAAAGGTTGTTTTATTAACGGGTATCGAAAAGTCATACCCGTTAATAAAACAACCTTTTGATAAAACAGCAAACCCTAACAGCTGTTTT